TTCCAGTGACTATTTTAATTTATCTTTGGGGACAAATTCTAACCAATGGTCGGGCAGCTGTAGGGTGTAGGATGACTGTTGTCTTAAATATAACCCATGATTCTCTAACCTTGGAATGCTCCTGCATAAGCCCATCTTCCCTGGAACCTGGAGAATAGAAAAAACTGCATTGCCCTCAATCTGCCCAGAACTCTAGCAGCTCTGCATTAAGGTAATGACTATTATCAAAATCTGCTTGGCCTGTCTTGCCTTAGCTCCATGGAACCATGAGGCAGATAACTGCAACAGATTTGCCCAAACAGCTATATTTTCCTGAGGGGTTGCCAAAACATCTCTATTGCTCTTTCAAAAGTCTCTATAGATCAATAAAACCACTTACTAAGTTGATGCCTTCACATATTTTCTCTGGAATTGGCAAAGCAAAGAGCCTAAACTTGTGCCACCACATTCAGCTCTGCAACCACTCAATATCTTTATCCAAATATTCATAATGGATGGGGGTACTGAAGAAACTCTCAGGAAGAAATCTGACATGATGTTGTAGAAGTTACAGAGGACTCATCATTTGGTTCCCAGGGGATCCACAAGAGATAAGAAATCTCTTGTAATTTGCACTAATTTGTCACCTTATCCTACTGAGAGACTAGAACTGCATACCCAAAACAATACTGACTGGTATAATCTCAGACTCCCAAATAACGCAAATGGCTGTTGATTAATGTGGGTAAGTCCTATTTAGCCATAATGTTTAAGTTTGAAAAGTGTGTGGCTACTGTAATGGAATCATAGAGTAAGTTCAATTAACCCAACTCAAGGCAGATAGACCTTCGAAGGTTGATTCAAGTTTGGAGCTAGATCGGGCTGGTCAGTGTCTTTTCCAGTCAAGTTCTGAATTTCTCCAAGGACACAGATGTCACAAACATCTCTTAACAATTTTTTCTAAAGTTTATCCACCCTCACTGCAGAATTTTTTCCAATATCTATTCAGAATTTCCCTTGTTGGAACTTGTGCCTGTTGACTGCTATCTGTATCACTGTGTACGTCTGAGCTTGGCTCTCACTTCTCTACAACCACACATCGGTTAGTTGAAGTCAAAAGTAAGATCCATATCTTCATCTTTTCTTCTTAAGACTGAACAAACCAATCTTTCATCTTTTCCTTGTATATCACGTCCTCCAACATCTTGATGGCCCTCCACTGGACTTGCTCCAACATGTCTCTTGTTTTGAGGAACCCCAAACTGGACAATACTCTAGTTGCATTAATTTGCCACAGATGAGGAATTTGATTCTTAATCATTTGTGACTACCACTTGGTAGTAGAGCACTAGAAAGCTGTGGCTGAATTAGCAATACCTGAGATAAACTGGGACAGTATGTGCCCATTTAAAGCAAAACTTAGACTATTTTTTTTGCCAGATTAAGGAGGAAGTCCAAATACTCCTTCTGTTCAAAGTGACAGAAATATTGGACATTTTGCCTTCTGGTGTAGATTGATCAAATTGCTGGGAACTGCTTATGTATTTCTTAGGAATAGAGATCTCTGAGATACTGGTGGAGTCTTTTTTATGATATAGTTTTCATTTCTGAAACTAGAATCTTCTGTTATATGGGCAGGGAAAGAATAATGGGTGCTCTTTTCAACCTTCCTAGATTTAGCAGGCAGTATGTGATTACCGGTGATTCCTGAAGTGTGCATTCAACATACCAGGTAGTCCTTTCTCATCCAGAGTTCATCTCATCTCCCCATTCATTTTCACTCTCTTTTCCTGAACTATTATTTCCTGTTCGAGGTTTCTTTGGTATCAGCTGCTTCCAAACAATCAATCTGACCTTTTATTGTATCATTTCTTGTTCTTCTAATCTTTCGTTTCAGGCTATCTTCCTCTTGCTAGATATTGACGACACTTAGGAATACCAAAGGGGAAGGATCGTTATGCTGATATTTGGTTAGTCATCACAACCTGTAGTTGCTTTTTTACCTTTATCTTGGATCTGTGATGAGATACTGTGATAAGTGAATTGTCTAATGGGATTACTGATACTCCATTCTTAATTTCCTGTTATGTTTCCGTATCATTCTTGGTGTTGATGAAATGTAAACTGGCCAATTACTTTTTTATAATGATACAAAAAAATATTAATAACTATGCATTTGTGAATTTGGCGGCTGTTGAGCTACTAAAACTGAAAAGAGTTATCCAAGCCTAGGAATAACTGAAGAAACCAACCAATTTTTTCAGATATGAGAAGGAGAAGGGAGAGATGGCAGAAATTGAAATAGTTCTTCCTCCCATACCATTATCTACATGTAAGAGTCAACATGCACATAAGTTTTGGCTTGCACAGGCAGTCGTTGCATGGGCTTCCGCCACACAGACTTAGCAGACAGTACATTAAGCTAATGTTAACCAGTAAAAAGAAGGTTAGGAAACCACAGAGAAGGCTCACTGGAGTGAGACCTGCTCAAAACATGGTGATCCTGCCTGCCAGAACTGCAATATGGTTGCTGAATTAGGTCTCAGTAACTACAATATATCTGTTCAGTTCTCCAAGGTATCTCCAAGGCAACTCCAAAGCAGAAGGGGACCGATAGCCAGAATGGATGTTACTGATCAGCAGGTACTCTGGCATAGGGTCTAGGGTGTTCATTCTGAAGGCAGTCCATGTTCTGAGGAGCAGAAAAGATGGGCAGCTCCATGTGCCAGGTCCTTGTTATTGTTCATCTCTGTAAAGCAACTGGCAGAACCTTTCCTTGGCAGGTGACACAGAGACACTTCAGAAAGTAAGCCTGTAAAGTCTGCTGAAGCAAGTCTAAGTCAGACTTGCTATTAGCTGGCAGCTGTTAACAGTATTATTTAAACACAATTCCTCCATCTTTGTAACTTTTTCATAAATAATGAAAAAATTGTTCTATTCAGTTTCAGCATAATATCATAGACCACTCCTTCGTCACTTTTAGTAATAATCCTGACCTCTGCCTAAGGCTGCTACAGTTGTTGAGTGTGCTATTCTTATGGGAACATTTACTCTAAATATGAGTTAGAAGAACGTATTTTGGCACATCTCCTTGCATAATGCAAGTTGTGGGCATTTTTCAAGTTGAGTGTTTACCTCACTGGTGACTTTGGATAGTGACGTCACAGATGACACACTTATCAAGCACAATAAGCTTTGGTAGGGTCAGGGGAAAGTTGCCATGATGAGATTCTCTTCCTGGTACATTTATTTTTGAATAACTTAACTACATGCAGGGCCTCTTTGAGTCCTGAAAAAACACTGGGTAGTGCAAACATTGCAAGATTAGCAATAACTGAAGAGCTCCAGAAAGTAAAAGGGAAGCTTCCACAAAACCTTTATGGGGCCTGTTCTTATGGATACAAGGCTATCACAAAAGTAGGAGAAAACTCTTAATTACCAGTGGTCAGTTGCTAACTATTTCTACACAGGAAAGTGAAGAATGAAAATGCAATAATGGATTTCTGCACTACCACTAAGTAGGCAATGTTTCTATGCATTATATTGCTGGTCCTCAGGAATTCACTAGTTGTTCTACATGCAGTGTTTCCTGACTGGAGGGATCCAATATTCCTTTGGTTTTGCTGTTCTCTGATTTAAGTATCAAACTTCATAAACAGAAAGGAACATTCTCACACTGTGTTCTGAGTATTCCTGACGACTTCTCATGAAGTTCAGATATGTCCAGGCAGTTTCACCTGGAGGAATTCACAGTTCCAGATACTAGAACTGTCAAAAACTCTAAAACGTAGTAAATGCTGCCATCTAATGGCATTTGACTGTTGAACATAAACTGTCACCTCAGTCCTGCTCACACTTGTGGTTTGGGCCTGGTCAGCAACCAACCCCCGTAGTTAATCACCCTCCCTTCCCCCTCCCCACCTGGGAATGGCGGAGGGGATTAGAGGGGTGAAGGGAGACTCGCAGGCTGAGATAAGAACAGTTTAATAATGGCAATAAAACGAGAACAATAACGATGATAGGGGGAAAACAAAAAAGAAATCTATAACCAGGCAATGTACAGCGTAATTGCTCACCATCCGCTAACCAATCCCCAGCCCGTTCCCGGCCAGCGACCCCGGGATACCAAGATCCCACAATCGCAATCCCAGAAGCGAGCGAGAGAGAGCTCCTTCCCAACCACCCCTCCTTTATATAGTGAGCATGGCTTTCCATGATATGGAATATTTCATTGGCCAATTTGGGTCTCTGTTCATGCTCCCTCCCTGTTTCTTGCGCACGGGCAGGACATGGGGAGTTGGAGAGTCCTTGAAGTCTCGGTAGCAGCTGAAAACACCAGTGTGCTATCAGCATTTTTCCCATACCAAACCCAAAGCTAAATCCAAAACACAGCACTCATCTAGTCCCTGAAAAGGAATATTAACTCTATTTCAGCCCAAGACCACACTGAACAGAATAAATAGTTTCACCTCAAAAGCATCCACTACTACGCACAGCTGGCACAAAAGCAATCCAAGCTGGACAGGAGGAGGTCTCAAGCAGACCCACCACATACCTCCGCATCCCACTGCCCGGTGGTGCTAACACTGAATGCAAATTTCTGAGTCATCCTAGGAGTTCTGCAGACCTTCTTTGTCCAATTATTTTCTGAGCAGAAGCTGGTTCTGGAAGTAATAAAACTAATTCAAACTGTTCTGTATCTGAACTCTTCACTCTCAGCTTTCACGCGCCTTTATTTGTCCTACAAATAGCTTCGACATGACTATAATTGTCATATTTAAATAGTATTTAACAAGGGAAATGACAGCAAAAAATGAATAATTACCTTATTGTTCCTGATATTCTTGCCTTGAAAATGCTAAATCTTTTCTGGTTCCTTGAAAGTAATTTCAGTTTTCTTGTGCTAATAGCTAGCTATTTTTGGAAAATTATATTACACTGGTTCTACCCCTCTAATAACAGATTATGTCTTGTAATCAACTGAAATTGAAGATACCTCTTACAAAACAGACAAAAATGCGTTAAGCATCTGAACTCTTTATTGAATAATCTAAAATAGTCTTATTTCATCAATAGCTCTGAGGCACCATGACACTTTACCTGACCAATGTTAGCTGCAAAAAAAACAGTAAAAGCAATATTGATACACATTGTTGATACATGTGTTTTTTTCAGAACCAACTAAATACTTTAATAAATATCATCTCATAATAAATATCATGAACTCCTTTTCAGATTACTAACTAATACTTTCCATGAGTATAATGATGCAATTTTATGTACAATAGTTCTTAAGATTTTCTGGAAGCAGTACTTTTGCATAACATCCTTTGATCTTGGTAGCTATTATTATCGCAATTTTCATACACTGAATGATACAAAGAACAAATTATATACAACTTTCAAGCACAGACACCTGAGGATGATAAATCCATTTAGGTGCACATGTAAAGACATCTCAAAAATTCTTAAGCATAAACAAATCCATCCAAAGGCACTAGAAGGAAGATGGTCCCAAACAACACAGAAATTATTGGCTGATTATACTCAAGTTTCTTGAATTAACTTTTTTACAGAAAATGCAGTAATTATTTAATTTTGCAACAATAATACAATTTTCAAATGAGGCTTTACCTTTGAAGAGATATAAGTTGTTCTACAGCCTTGCATACTTATAAATCATATCAGCTACAACTGATCTTTTATAGATTTCTCCTGTAAACATCGAAATATGAACTAACACAAAAAATGACAGGTGTAAAAATAAACTCACCTACTCCAGTAACTGAGGAAAAAAAATTCTATGGTTTGATTTTCCCCTAATAATTATGACATAAATGTTCAAATATTAATTGTTTTAAGGAGCATTTGTAAAATTGAACAATCAGAATACTTAAAGTATGTCATCATTATTCTAAATCTAAAGTATTATGCTCTGGGATCAAAATATTTTCTTCATCTGAAAAGAACTGATATTGGTTTAATCAAAATTTCTGCAGCCTGGGACAACCTTGTACATCCACATTATCGCTATCTGTTTCAGTAAAACCATCATAAAATAAAGGGAGAGATATGGAAGACGCAGTCAGTGATTTATCTAGCTTCCTACTATTTTTTTCATTAATCATTGATGCAATAAGACTCTCCTTCTCATGTGTTTCTTCTTCAAAGATAGCACTGTTATAACGTCTCTGACGGTATAAGAAAGATTTATTTTTAAAAGAACGCTGCATCAAATACCTCCTGAAGGCCCTTTGAATAACAAGAGCCGACACCTCCTCCTGTTTTCTTTTAAGGGTAGTAGTAATTGGCTTGCAAGAAACTTTAGATAGATTGGCAGCCATGAATTTTTCTTCCATGTGTAATTCAAGACCATCCAAATCTCCAGATTCTCCCAAGACTCTTTTAGTGAAAGCAAGCAAGATATCCAAGCAGTGGATCTTATCCCCGCTGACTATAGGGAGGTCCATGGATATGAGCTGAATTTTATTAGGCTTTGGAATGCGTAAGGGTTCTGCCAGAGCATCTGCAAAGTCTGGAAGAGCAGAATATTCAATAAACTGTGTTGCCTGAGGATCAAATTTTCCCCAGGTCTCATAAAACATATCAAAGTCATCCTCACAAAGAGGATCTGTGCTTTCTTCAGTGGCAACACTGAAGTTCTCTAAAATTACAGCTATGTACATATTTACAACAATGAGAAATGATATAATGACATAGCTTACAAAAAATAAAATACCAACCTCCTTACTTGTGCAATTTTTTTTCTGTTCATCTGTTAAATTTAAGTTGGGAGCACATGAATTAGGTCCTTTTAAAAGAGGGACCAAAAGACCATCCCAGCCAGCTGATGTTGTAATTTGGAAGAGACAGAGAATGCTACTGTCAAAGGTTTGAAAGTTGAAAAGGTTATCAATCCCACCTTCCCAGCCAAGACAGGCAAAGTTTGTCATGCCCACAATTGCATAAATGAACATAACCAGAAAAAGCAAAAGACCAATGTTGAATAATGCAGGAAGAGACATAAGTAATGCAAAAAGAAGAGTTCTAATTCCTTTAGCTTTTCGAATTAATCTCAGGATTCGGCCAATTCGTGCCAAACGAAAAATTCTCAAAAGTGTCGGAGAGAACAAAGTTCGAAATCCTTCAGAAAGTCCAATACCTTTGAGATGAAAAAGAGAACAAAATGTTGTCAAGCCATATCAGTGGAATTCCCTATTTATGTCCATTTTGTTATATTCTATGTTTTAACTGTTGAAGGTAACACTGATCATATTACATCACTTTCAACAAAGCCATTATTATCAATACTGCAATTGCTTACAAAAGAGCTTAGGAAAAGAAAGACAAATTGCAATACCTTTGAAATATTAAAGAGGTGTCAAGATTACGTATAGTTTGGAAACTGCATTCTCCCTAATTTCTCTAATTTAGGGGATGAAATTATGCACTGCTCAAATACTTAAAAAATCCTCTAAAATTCAGCTCCTTTGTTGGAAGCTATTGGGTTTGTCTCCTAGCTCCTGTCTGATTCCTGCTTCTTCTATAGGCATAAGCCACGTGCTAAATGGGAGCCTGTCATTAATGTTTGGTACTTGAATGAGAGCAGAGAAAAGAGAGAATAAGGAAAACTGTCTTTTGGTATTTGTCCTGCATCACACCACTTTCTGTGATCCTATTATCAGAGTAAAGACACAATAGGATTACAAACAGATGATTTAAGTAGTCAGCATTTTTATGGGTTGTGTGGGATAGCAAAGGGGTACTGTGCTTAGGAATGAAGCAGAGAACTCAGATCAGTTTTTCTTTCCCATCCTTTATTCTATAATATAACCTGAGCCTAAGTAGGAAGCACAGACCAAATAAACTCTGCAAGAAACTAAAGCTATATATGACCCTTTGTAGAGGGAAATGATAAGAATCTAATCTTATTTGAAAAGCAAAACAAAACCAAGCCAGTTTTAATAAGACTTTTCACAGTCACAAATAGTGGCCCAGATTTAGAATAGTGCTGAGCAACTAAATTTTCCTGAGCTTTCTAAATCAGCTCTCAGGATCTGCCTTCTTAAAAAAAGGCCTGGAAAGTGAAATAAACCTTTCCAATTTTTCATACAAATATATTTTTGACCTGAATTTACTTTTATTGTGAAAACAACAGTTAACGTGATTATATGTAAATTGGAAGCATAAAAACAGTAAGACAACAGTTTAAGTACAGTAACTTATAAAAGATGTTACTGCATTAAATTTCTATTCTGTTAGGTACTCAATAAAACTCATACTTTAAAAAAAAAAATTAAAAACTATACATTTACCTTTTAGTACTCTGCAAAAATATCAGGGAAAACAAAACTATATCCTTTTAGAAGGAATCACTTAGCATATGGTTTAAAAAATACAATGGAGCTGGAACTTGTTTATCCCATATATGTAAATGGTTACTTCATACTGAAATTGGTTTAGTATTGGTAAGACACATTACCGGATCTAATAACGACTGATACTTACTAACTAGTGAGAGGATCACAACAGCTAAATCAAATATGTTCCAGCCACTGGTGAAGAAGTAATGTCTTAAGGCTAGTATTTTAATGACACACTCCGCAGTAAATACTGCCACAAAAAAAAAGTTGATTTTGTTAAGAACATCCTTGATGCCATTCTGGTTACTTTCTGCCATCATAACGACCATATTTAGACAGATGAATGTCACAACAGTAATGTCAAATGCTTTGTGCGATACCATATCAAACAGTAATCCTTGGAACACATTCTGTAGAGAGAACAAGAACTGCTTAATGCTAATTCTAAGACCCAGGCAAATTAATATTCAAATAATAATTACTAATTTGTGCTTAGAAAGAGAATGTAAGAAAATATAAATTTAACAATAAGCTACCAGAGAATTTTTAGGTGATTTCTTTAGACTTTCAAAGAAAACACTCAGTACTTGGCTAAGTATTTTCAGGTATCATGCAACCATGTATCCTTAGCAAAAAATTATACAGCAGGAAAACATTCAGAGTACCCTGTGATTGCTCTTTTAACAGAAATACTTATTGAAGCAGACATTTTAGGATAAACAATTCTAATTAAAATATCATAAGCAAGAAAAACTCTGAATAGTTACTATGTAAAGCCAAGCCCGGAATTAAATTTAAGAAACTATAAAAAGTAAAGCATAAGATTATTTAAAAGTAAGTAACAGCCATGGGGCATGTACTACTCACTATTCATTTTTACCTGCAATAATCCAATCTAGCTGCAGAAGCAATATCATGCAACTTAAGTAACCATGATCATGTTATGAATATCAAATACTTAATATGAACTTTTATAAACAAGTACACTTGAATAGGTGATAAATAGGCTGTAGACTTCCTTAATTAACACCCACAAAGAGTGCACCAGATGGAATTAAGAGAGTAAAATGTAAATACGATATCGAATGAGGAAGATGATGGGCTTTAACATGAAGTTTATTTCCAGTTGCCTGGATACTGAGTTGAAATATGGTCATCATCTTTATAACTTCTATCATATTCTACTTAAGATGGACTCACCGATGGTCTTGGGATGGGTTTTTGAGGTTTCTTGGATCCAAGTTTTTTCAGGGCATTGTAGTACTTTTTCTGTTCCTCAGTCAAAAATAGATCCTTTCCACCTAAGTAAAGGGAAAGAATACTGTTGTTCAGATGAAGTTTACATAGTCAACTAAATAAACACTTTCAAGTTTATGTAAAAAAAAAAGTAAGTTACAACTGTCAGAAATGGGATCTAAGCAAGCATAGAGACAAAATGCATTTTCACCATTTCTCCACTTCCCCTTGTTCTTTGAAATGATGTACTGTCAAAAGGTGACCAGAGTTTGATTGTGAAAGTCTAGTCTAGGCAGTGTTCCTCAGTCAGTTTTCTCAACTGTGAGAGCCCCTGTGAAGTTTTACAAATCTATTTCATATTTTTAAAATTACATAAAACTCACCAAGTAAAATATTTTCCATTTAAATTTTTGGGAAGGGTAAAAAGAGAAGTATAATGCTGGACTAGCAAATAAATGGAAGATCATGAATCAGCACTTCAGTACCAAGTTCAACAAGGGCGTCATCAACTGATAACGAGTTTCTGGTGCTCATCTTATTCCCATCTGCACCACCTGTATTACTTAGCACTCACTTTGAACCAAGTATTCAGGAGAAGCCACTCATAAAAGGATTGAATGATTAGCATTTTGTAGAACAAACAGGTAACAATGTTCAGTAGGGCATCTGCACTTTGAATCACTCTAGCAAAACCTCTGAAAATTCAGCTTAACTTCACTATATGAAATCTCAGTGAAAATCCCCAAGAAGAAGCAAAGAAATGAAAAAGAAAAAATGCCCACTTAGAGCATGTACTGAGAAAAGAAAATTCACATTGACTTCTAGTAAGTGTTCAGGCTCATAAGGTACTTAACAAGTGTTGTTTCTGTCTGTTGGGACTTTGTTATAAAAGGAAAATATTATAATGAAGTTGGACTGTTGTTCCTCAACCCCTACATATGCTTTCTCTGTTCAAATACAGAGAGCAGAAGATTTTCTTCTGGGCCTTATTGCTATCTATCTCATCAAGGACAGTAATTCTTTGACACCTGGTGTATAAGTCAGCCTACTGAAATAATAAATGGCTCCTGCAGAGATTCTGTCTTCCAAATGTGAACCCTGAAACTGTAAACCTCCTGCCGGGGTTTGCTTTTGTGGTATCGTTTTAACGAGCAAGATGCTTATTCATTTTAAGAGTTGCAAGTAGATAAATTGACTCGATTTCCCTCAGTGTTCTGGATACTCTAAGCCCTTAAACAAGTCAGGGATACCGCTCAATTGACAAATAAGTTTGTCACAAAGAAGTTGATGTATAGCAGGGAAGGTTGACTTCTGCTTTTTTTTTTTAGTTGTTGCATTTTCCATTCTAAGATTTTGCCTGCCATTTCTTACTGAATAAAAAGAACAGGGAATCTAACAACTTTGAGGAGAAAAGTGGAAGCAGTCAGTTCTTCAGGGTCTTTAAGAAATCTTTACATTTCTAGATAGTCTCTTCCTTGGGCCATGGTTTGGATCTCAATGCAGAATTTTTTAAAAATCCCAGTAAATTAATCTGTAGGGTTACTTTACTGACGACAGGATTTTGTAGATGTAGTTAGTTTCAGAAGTTCTGTTTAACAAGTTATTTTTAAGTTTCTTTACCAGGAAAGCAGTGGTTATTTCTTCCATGAGCAGTAGTGTTTCTTGATTATCCTTATCATATTTATTAGGTGTTTACTCTCGGCAAAAAAGGATATTCTGTTCTCCAAAGTAAATCTTCAAAGCAGAAGAAAAGAATTCCACTCTCCTGTAGCAAAATCTATGTAACTTTTTTTACCTTCTCTTTTCTAAAATGACAAACTCCTTCCTCCTCATCCTCCTACTTAGAACAAATTAAAGACTTGGCATGCAAATAGAATTTATAAATTGCTAAAAGGCAATTTCCTTTGAGGAAAAGGCAACTCTTGTTTTCAAAACTTGGTATCTAAATATTATTTTTAATTTTTCCAAACAGCTCAAAACGATAGACAACTGATGTCAAAATAGCATTCACTTTATCAGATTGGGATTACAAGAGACCTTGAATTAGTTCATGTAGTACTTATCTTTTTCCTTTGTTGGTTAAAATTGCTGATAACCACTCCAATGAAAAGGTTCAGCATGAAGAAAGATCCAAAAATAATGAAAATCACAAAATACATATACATGGCTAAGAATGCTTCAAACTTTGGCTGTTCATCTATCTGTTAAAAAAAGAATCAAAGCAGGAAAAAAATATGGTAAAAATCAGACAATCACAGCTTTATAATTTCTAATTTATAATAACAAATATTTTTATTGTCAGGAGGGGTAAGTTATTTCTTCACATTTAAACCTTTATTTAAATGTACAAGTAGAACAACTGCCTTGTTCTGACTTGTTACTGTTTTTAAAATAAAGATATATAACCAAATCCAGCTCTAGCAAATTCTTAAGTAATAGATAAACAGTGTCAATCAGACGTGATACTGTGAATGCCTAGATTAGAAAACCAGCTCAGATTAGACATAATGGTGAACCGCCATCCCCTTGAATGCTATCTCAGACAAGAAGCAGTTTTAAAAAGCCAGCTCACTATGATCATCCCTACAAGGAACAATCTTTCTAACTAGCAGTTATAACATTACATTCAAGAGTACAGTCCTTGAATGATGTCGTGGTTTGGGCCTGGTTGGTAGCCAACCACAATGCAGCACCTCTCTCTCCCTTCCCCTCCGGCAATGAGAAGGGACAGAGAGCCAGGCTTGGGGTTTGAGATAGGACTGGGATGGGGAGAAATTCCCCTTTATGATCACGAGCAAAAGGCAGACTCATTAGGGGAAGAAAAAAATAGAACATACATTTATTACAGACACTAACAACACATAACAGAGTAGGACAGTGAGAAGCATTGCCACATCTTGAGAACACCTTCCCCCCACCCCTCCCTTCTTCCCGAGCTCAGCTCTGCTCCCAATATCTCTACCGCTCCCCCAGTGGCGCAGGGGCAGGGAATGGGGGGTGCAGTCAGTGCTGCCACTTCCTTCAGCTTCGGTGAGGGGAGTGTCCGGAACTTGTTCCTCCTGCTCCATTGTGGTCCCCCTCTCACAGCAGACAGTCCTCCACAAACTTTCTCCGACATGAGTTCCTCCCATGGGCCGCAGCGTTCCCCACACTGCTCCGTCATGGGTCACTAACTTCCTCCGACTGGATTCCCTCCCACGGCTGCAGCCCTTCCCGAGCTGCTCCGGCGTGGGACTCCCCTGCATGCTGCAATCCTCCCAGCACTGGACTACAGCAGCAGGGCTGCCTTTTCCCACGAGACCCCGGCCTCCTTCGGGCACAGAACCTTGATCATGCAAGCAGAAGCCACAGGCCATAAATCAATGTCTGCTCCACCGTAGATCTCCATGGGTAGCAGGGGGGGGCCGCCCTGCCGTCTCACCACAGGATACAGGGGGGTCTCTGCTCCGGCACACCTCCCCCCTCCTTTCTTCCTCCGTTCCTCCACTGACCTTGGTGTTCATGCAGCTGCAGCAACTCCTCCTCACAAGTCCCACTGCCCGTCACCACGTCCCTTCTTAAATACGTTATCGCAGAGGCGCAGCTGATTGGCTCAATTTCCCAAACAGAAGTGGAGCTGACGTGGAGCTGGGGGAGCTTTGAGAAGCTTCTCACAGGGGGCCGCCCCAATAGCCCCCTCCCCTGCCACCAAAAAACTCCACCACTCACTCAACCCAGGACAAATGAATAAGAAAAATGCAAATTAAATTAAATGTAGAAAAGTTAGAACACGCTGTGCTACTGAGAGAGTGAGAAACAGCACATGGAAATATGGAAGAAATAGTAAAGATGTCAAATACAGGGAAGAAAACCTCCAGAAATAACTGCTAAAGATACATGCAGTTTTAATGCTCCTGTACATTTTTAAAAAAGAAGGAAATTTGCTTCAGAGGCACAGTCCCTCAAAGACCTTCCAAATTCTGTTCCCAAAATAGACTTGTCCAAAACTTGCAACATCTTGCTCTCTGCATTCTTGATGTAGTACATTTTTGTGCGGTATGACTCTATTTTGACCAGTTTTCTTTTGTCTAAGCTCTAGATATCTGGTACTCCAAGGATTATTGTTTCACTGCATAGTTTGATGCATTCATGTGCTTGTATTTCTGACTTGATATTGCGAACAAAACTGAAAAATTAATTGTATGGATAGGAAAGAAAAGAAGGAAAGGGAAAGAGCTAAAATTTCATTTTAGTGACATACCTCACGTGAGTCCACTGCTGCATACATAATATCCATCCAACCTTTAAAAGTTGCCTGAAAAAAATGCATTAATATGGTTATTATCACTTAAATTATTATTTTTTTTTATTTAGATAGAGCTAATATAAATGTATTAAGAGATGTGGAAAAGTGAGCAGTGTGCTATAAAAAAATGTGCATCACTTCTAAAAATCTGCTTGGAAGTATGATTCACTGGAATTTAGTAAAGAGAAAAAAAAAATCATTCCTGAAAAGAAAAAAAAAAATATGACATGAATCCTGTGACGTGTTTTAATGTTAATTCTTGTTAAATTTAAATTTTTGTAAATTCTCTGCTTTTTGAAAAAGCAGTAAAACTTTCAGCTTAACTAGTGAATATATCCTAAAAGAATAAAAAACATTTCTAAGAAAATGGCAGACAATTCCTTCCTGAAATTTTTAGCAACTCTTCAAAATCATAGAGCACTTTGGAGGATACACAGTAAAGAAATTAATCTAGAAAAGATACAGGGATAACAGACACTATAAAAAATGCCTTTCTCTCCTATGTTGTGGCATTAGGGATATCAACAATTTAGCATCCCAGTATTTCATCACTTATACAATAAAATAAAATATAGAAATATAAATAAACTACATCATGCTTTTTCTTTCTCTTCCACTCTGAACTAACTTTTACTAAAGAAAATGAGAATAACCTCAGATCTGGTAACATGCAGACTATTTCAGGCTTAGTATGTTAATCAAAATAAAACCAAAATTGAAAAGCCATGAAACACAGTACTTGATTTTAACACAAGGTTGCATATGCTAAAGTGTTCTTTAGGAGGAACTGAGCAGCTTATATATAAGAAAATATGTATGGATGCTAAAAGATCCCCAATTTCAGTGAGATAAACAGAAGCGTAATTGGCATCCCATGGTTGATCTGCTCAACACATTTCCTTGAAGAAAACAAAACTGAGTATTTTTTATAGAACTTACCACTTGGAGAAGAGCCAAGTATCCCATCCCAACATTATCAAAGTTTACATCATTATTTGCCCATGTTCCATTATAGAAAATACAGTTGTCTTTGTTATTAATTAAACTGATATTTCCTTTCTTGAGTGTGCATTTGGAAAATTTTTTTCCAAGTAATTTTACTCCTGCAATGTTAAATAGGAGCCAGAAGACAATACAGACGAGCAAAACGTTCAAGATTGAGGGGATAGCTCCCAAGAGTGCGTTCACAACAACCTTAAATAAATAAAATGAGTGAAAAGAATTAATTACTTACATTCAATAGAACACCCTCCCAGAAAACCACTTATTTTTTCTTCTGTATCTATTGCAGATTCTCAACCATTTAAAAACTAGTAAATGACAAATGTAAAGCCAGCCTTTAGCCCAACTTCAAGCTTGTTTTAACATGTAATTCTGTGCTATCTATCTTGACTTTCTGAGGAAGCAAGTAGAACAGATGGCAACTAGAATTATCCTTGGGTAAAAGAAATACATAAAATAAGATTATGAGTCTGTTGTAGCTATGAAATCTAACAATCAAGTATAGAGGAACAGGTCGTATGATCTGCATTTACTACAAATACCATAAATATCCCTCTTTTATCTTGGAGGGTTTTGTAAGAGAACAACAGCTTGCTCTCCATAACAAAATGAACCTCACCCAGCAACCACTGGCACCTGACTGCACACAGTACATAAAGTAGAGGAGTTTGGCTTCCACAAGACTGAGTTGTTTTGGTCAGCAGTCTTCCTTCATTTAGGCTTGCTTGAAGACAAGGTGAATGCAAACCCATGATGAGCAGTAAGCGTCTTTCAGAAATTATACCAATGAAAATGGAATTCCTGTTTTTGGTGTCTGTGTTGGTGACACCAAGGGACCTGACACAAGCAGTGATAAGAACTCATATTCACAAATCCAGCACACTAATGCTGACAGGCAGGACCACACTTGTTGCCAGTGGCAATTTGAGGACCATTATTTCTCTTTCCACTATTTTTCACTACTCTGTGCAGGGGCTTAGTGAAAATCTCTCTGGAAATGTTTCATTGCCACTATTATGAGCAAATTCTGACCCTTTTATCCTGGCCTTGGATAATATCTGTATACTAGAAACACATAGAATGAAGCACATTGGAAGGGACCTCTGAAGAACAGCTATTCCAACACAAACCAAGTTTCTTGGCATCTCGTCCAGTCAAGTTCTAAGTTTTTCTAAGGGTGGATATTCAACAACCTCTCTGAACAATCTACTGCAATGCTATATACTCACACTGTCATCTTTTTTGTCAGGTAGCTAATTGGAATATCCCTCACAGCCAACTCATTCTCTCTCATTCTCTTACCGTGGGCCTACTACAAAACACTAGTTCAATTCCTTACATAACCTCCCATTAAGTAAAGACAACAATTAGATCCCTTACCTAATTAGATCCCAATCAGATCCTCCCTTTAACCTTCTCTTCTCCAAGCTCCCCATTCCCTCAGCCTCTCCGCTCCAGTCCTCTGACCATCTCAGTGGCACTTTGTTGGACACTCTCCAGTATGTTAATATCTGTCTTACACTAGGGAGCCCCAAGCTCCCCGAACTGGACAAGATACTCCAGATGCAGTCTCACAGGTGCCCAAACCAGAAGACTGAATTGCCTCAGTGTGCTGGCCAGACTCATGTTAATAGAGCCCAGTACACGGTAGATCTCTGTTGCTCTGCTGACTAATGTTTAAAATGCTGTCCACCCCAGGTCCTTTTCTGCAAAACTGCTAATTTCTCAGTGTGCCACATGTGGCTATTCTGGCTCAGGTGCAAGACTTTGCTTTTGCTGAACTTCCTGAGGATTCTGCAGCCCATACTTCCATCTGTCTAGCTCTCAGTGCAGAGCAGCCTTGCCCCCAGTGTACTAACTGCTCACCCTCAGTTTCTTATCATCTACGAACTTGCTGAGGACAATTTCTACCACATTCTTCTGATTGCTAATTAAGCCATTAAGCAGTATTGGTCCCAGGACTGACCTCTGAGCCACTAGTAACCAGCTGCCAGTTGAACTTCATCCTGATGATCTCTGCACATTGAACCAGGCAGTTCAGCCAATTTTCTGCCTAGCTTAGAGCTCACCTTCCCAAACCAGATATAACCAATATCTGAGATCATGGATGGCTCTTCCCTCCCTAAGCCATCTTATCATAGAAGACAATCAGGTTTGAGACGCAAAAATTGTCCTTCCTAAATTCATGCTGGCTGTTTCTAACTGATTCCTTCTTGTCCTTCATGGCTTCCAGGAGGATTTGCTCCATATCCATCCCGGGGCCTGAAGTTAGTGTCTCATCACATTCTGTGATCTAACACAGGTCAGATGATTTGCATTATACAGTATTTTATTTCTTCCCACTGACTTTAAAGATTCCAGATAGTTTGCTCAGACCAGCTTTTAAAATTGAGTTAGAAGAAGCCCCTCTCCTATTAAGAAAATACCATCCTATTTAAGTTTGAAAGGATTGTTATCTTTCAGTTCTACACTGGAGAATCCAAAATGTGCCAGATGAGCTTGTCTAGATAACTGTCAAGATGAGTTGATATAAGCACAGCAGTCTAAAGAAGGGGAATTATGAAAAGGAGTTAGAAAAAGTGAATAGTTTCCACTAAAACAATGAATTAATGAATCTGCTTTCCTGGTCCCAATTTCTTGACTTAGGCCATAAGTGAAAATTAGGAAAGGTCTGTGGTCACTACATTTCTTATGCCATGAAGATTGATAAACTACAAATTTCACAATACAGGTTTCTTCCTCATATTACAGTTTTCTGTAATAACTATATATATATCACTTATTTTTTACTGACAAGTAATTAAAAATGGTTCCTATTTTTTTCAAGCATATTCATTTTTTTGAGAAGAATTTTCCACATACTCTGAATGAAATTTTCCCATGTCTAAGATAAACCAAATAATGGGTTTCAGAAAAGTACAAGTCTAAAAAAATTCTTGTTTAGTTTGTTCCACAAACTGCACTGAAACTGGAAACATGGAAAAATGTTCCAGTGTTCACACAACTATATGTAATAATTCCTTGTGGTAGCACATTATAATTCAGTTTTTAATTTCATCTGTATTTATAAATTTCTGTGAAAGTGTTAGGTATTATTTCAAAATAAAACCCATAAAATGTAAGTAGACAATCTGAACCATCTTAATGCCATTAAGTCTCAAACTAGAGATTCAAGTTGTAATTTTCACAAAAACTTCAAATGTAGCTATTACAAAATATGCACACACACCCCCAGCAGCCTTACCTTAATCCCTTCAAATCTTGACAAAGCTCGTAGAGGCCTCAATGCTCTAAGAGTCCTGAGAGATTTCAGGGCACTCCCAGAGGAACAAGGTGATGTGGCTTTGGAAACAGTATTTAGTCCCCAGGAAACAAAAGATAGCTGTGTTCATTGAATTGGAACCGAGATTATTAAAAGGTATACCAAAAAATGATTTTATTTGTGTCAGTAGACAATCACAGGCTGATTGATTGATCTTTGACCAGTAAGTCAAATAAAGAAAATACACAAAGTTATCATAATATAATTTTACTTCATTCTTTCCTAATATTTTTAAAATAATGGAGTTCTCTCATTCTAATTTGAAACACTTTTATATATATATATATATATATATATATATATATATATATATAACTATGGTTATTTCATGCACTACAAGACCCAAAAGTATTACTGAAATAAAATATTCCCATTTTCAGTATAGTTATTCTCAGAAGTGTATACAGTAATTCCTTATCATAATTTAAGATGGTCATGTGGAAATAAAAAGTTTTTAAAAAGACATGCAGTCTCCATTTTAAATTTTCATAAGAGAGAAAAATAACTGAAAACATTAGAAAATTGTTTAAATTATAAGGGTTTTTTTTCAGTTCATGATTTTCCTCTTCCTTCCTATTTGAATTTGTTGTCTCATTGTCTAGCCAATGGATATTTTCATGCTTTTCCTCTTTTGCACAGCACTGCTTCTATTAGTACATAACTGTAATTGCTAAAGTCATGCTATATATTCTTTGTAAATAGCCATAATATTAGATTTTTCTGTTGAAATTTCCTAGTACTTCACAACTTTCAATGCCAACAATTCAGAGGCTATCAAACACCTACTTTGACATTACTGGAAGTCAGCTGTTTAGATGTCCTTATTTTAAAATAGTTAACTTCAGTATCTTCCCAGTGTAACATTAACAAGGAAAAATATTTCATTTTTATATGGCAAGATTATATTATTTAACTTCTAATTTAGAATAAATACATATATATTGAACACTGCACTTCCTCTATCTAACTACTGATTTCAGCATTTCTCTTTATAGCTCTGTAAAGGATTGCTAGGATTTATTTGGTTGCAAGGTAAAACATACTTTCCTACTTCTTTAACTGTCTAGCAAATGATTTTTCCAACAATACTTTTCGATTCCCTTTACCATCTAAATTTCTTCTCCTTTAAGGAAGCAACTCTGCTTTTTTCTGTTTCTAAATGTCGGAGCTGCCAGCAGTTTCAAATTTTTCTATCATCTTAATTAATATATTTTAGTTTCATTTCTGCTAGTTAATTGCACTCTCTCTCTACACTCAAAAAGGTTTTCATAACCAACATGGTCTTCAATGACAGTGATACCTAATAAAATTTTCTTCAGCAATTTCTGATTATTACTTACAATTTCCATTTAAATTTGTCCTAAAGTCTCTTTAGGATGCAATTTTTTTTCAGCTTTTGTAAACTGACTTTTCCACTTGTGTTTATTCATAATGAGATTTTACATGTAGCTGTCTATATAGAAAATATCAAAATGCAAAATGTAAGACAAGCTGAATATAATACTTACACATACAATGATGAAGTCAAGCCAACACCAGGCATTTGTGAAATAACTGTGCAAACCATAAGCTACCCATTTCAGAAGCATCTCCATAGAAAAGATGTAGGTAAATATTTTATCAGCATACTCTAGAAGCATTTTCACTTTTTTCCTCTTCTGCAGATGAATATCTTCAAATGCCTGGAATTTCCAAATTCAGTTTTAAAACAGTTCAGTAGTTTTATGAAAATTTATTGTAAAATTGCACAAGCACAGACAGTTTGGATTATTATAACAACCATTTCCCTGTTTAACATTGGCTACCTTGATTTCCATCAACTAGTCAAATCACCCGCTCATTAGCAGTGATGCTCTTTCAAACTTCTAATACAAACTCTTCCAGTGCTCTGAGCACTGAGCACTCACCACGTACTTTTCTATGCATTCCTTCTATTATCATAATCTCATTTAATTTACTCTCAAGCCATGGACATGCCTGATGGTATGGTATCCATTCGTTCTAGCTAGTTCAGGAAATTCCTTATCAGCAAACAACTTTATAAACAAACAGAAAATGAACAAGTCCCTTTTCGCAAGAGGACAAAAGTATCTTAGAAATGTGAAAGTTCTCAACACCACAACTTTGATAATCATACAACTTTGATGAAAAGAAATTGTTACTGTTTTCTTATCTTGCACCTGGATATCAACGAGTTTTGTGTTCAACTTAGCCAGATCCTACAGTACATTATATAATAACCCAGTTTCCTTCTTTACTTCATTTTAACTCCACAAGAGTACAGAGGAGCCCTCATGGCAATCCCAGGGAGTTCCCTTGGAGATTTTGCCACAGAAATTTTAAAACAGATACTTTAAATCTATGGTTCAGTGGACAACTTAAATTTAATGCACACAGAACAGATTGTATTTGGAGAATTGTGACATCTACCATATAGATCACTTTCTCATTAATTGGCTATGTTCCTTCTGCACTGTATAGTGTTTTATTTAATAAATTACTTTCAGTAGACTTAGTGAATATGTTTTCAAATCAGATAAAATTTCCATTATTCTTCAGTAGAAATGGATATAATCAGAGCAGCAATGAAACTTTAAGTCACCTACCAGTTTACAGCCATCACTTTCAGATTATGATCATAATATTTGGATGGTTTTAAATCTAAATTTTTACTGAGCAGTTACTCTGTACCAATTTAGAAGTATTTTTATTTTTTAAGCTTTCCTAAGTAATTTCAGACCCTGGTTTAGCCTCCTAATTAAGCGCACACGTATGTGAAGAACTATGTTCCATGAAGAACTATGAAGCAGACTGTTATTCCGTATATCCAAGTTTGGGGAGAGCCTTATAAATTCTAAGGGATATGTCTGCTATGCTCCCTGGGGAAAAGAATGTGAGAGTAGAAGAAATAAGTTAAATATAATAATATGATTATTTTACTTTACTGACAACCATCAACTCAAAATTTGAGAAACTAAAATAAATTTACCAGTGCTGCGCTGCTCAGTATTATCATAAAAATTATAAAATTTTCAAACCAGCTATGTTTAACAATTCTGTAGCAGGTTTTTCTAAATTTCCACCAAGTTCTGCCTGGAAACTTAGTGATATCCACTACGCAACACGGGAAACATTCAACACAACCTGAAAAGAGAAAGAACAGCATATTGGTTTCATGGAAAATGTAGAGACATGGAATCTAAAAAGTCTAAAACATCTTAGAATGAGCTTCTACAGGCTATACAAAGAATGTTTTACCTATGGGTGTTTTACCTATGGGGTGATGCTGTGGTTGAAACTATCTACAGCTAAAGAAAAGACAAACTTTACAGACCAAAATAATCTCTTTTAATAGAGCAGCTCATACATGGAAAAAGTATATGCTTTTGTGCCCACAAACTCTTCTGCACAAAAAAGCCATTACTTCATTCTATCTAAAAAAAAACTTGCTTATTTTATTTTTCTGTATTCATTATTTTTGTTTTGAAAAGAGATATTACCTTACTAGTGGTTTAGTAAATCATTATTTTTACTGATTTTTTCATTTGATCACACTGCAGAGACATTACAACTACATTCTCTGTTCACTGCATTGCACCAGAAAGACAATTCTTCATTAATCTGTAAAGGCAGTGGATTGAACCATGAGAGTCAACAGAATCTAAGAAGCAGTTCAGGCAATCAAAGGTCCACATTGAGATGAGCTGTACAGTCCTATGAATTCCATTAACTGTATTGTCTGGGTATTCATCCACTGTACTGGGAGCCCAAACAAATTCAGTTGACGTGCCATTAAAGATACCAGGTACTGACATACATATCCCAACTGACCTCCAGAAATGCTTTGAGTGCCTTTGCTCATATACAGGTACCTACAGTGGGATGTCTCAATAGAAGACTGAATCACACTCCAAGGATGGCATTTTTCCACCTAAACACAGGTGTTTAGAACCATTTTGGGCCTCTTCAGATATTCTACAGCTTCTGGGACACTTCTGCCAGCTTCATGCAGTTGTCTTGCATACACTCAAGCATCTCATATGCTACTAAATGCCTGTGTTCAGGCATCCCAGCCCTGCTTCAGTTCTGTGCTGGCTTCAGATATGCTTATTTGAGTTTTTCTGTTTACACACAAGTGTCTCAGGCAAACAGTTTCTGTCAATTTGAAATGTTCCAAACAGATATCTTTGAATACTGGTTCATTTGGTGTTACCTCAATATATAAAACTTTCTTACTTTCTGCAAAACAGTCCTTAGGTAGGTGTGACTTTTTAGGCTGGGAAAGCATCTCCAGAAGAATAACTGGATCCACAGTGCTGGCTTCAGAATAGCTACCAGCATCACATTTCTGCACAGGAGAAGGGCAAAGAAGAGAACATATTTGCTTTTCATTAATAAGGTTACTAGTTTTAAAATAAATGAAACTTATCACACCCTCCCCCCCCCCAAAAAAAAAAATCTTCAGCATATAAATTATCTTAAAGTTGCTGAACTACCGAAATAAAATTACAAATAGGACAGAAAAGGCTAATCCCTACTCTTTGTTTCCATGGCTTTAATTTAATAAGTTTCTTGGTTCCTTGTAGTGGTCTACATTGGACTTGCAGGAAGGAAAATGTTTAGAAGAGATTATATTATGCTATAACTTTAAAGAAAACTCTGATTTCTTCATGCCAATCCAATTTTCTTTTCACTTTCAGAGATACAAACCATGTCTCAAAAGGCTTGAAGACAGAAAAACCTAGGAGGAAAGAAATGTACATATGGTCTACGTATCTCAAAGAATTGTAGTTATCGGTAGGTAACCTACACATCTATAAAAATAAAGACAATAAAGCAAACAAGGATAAAGAAAAAAGGAATAAAGCAATCTATTAGTCATAAAGTGTAAGTGTCCTGTATGACATGGAAAGGGAAGGAATGAGGAGAAGGATAAGAAAGAGAAGCCAAAAGAAGGGAGAACTGCCTCTGTTGACAGCCATGCTGCTCTACACTAACCTAAGGTCCTAGGGAAACTTCAACATAGAAAATAATACAGTTATTTAAATTCATGGGCATTTTAATATTTTAAATATTATTTTTAAAATATGAATATAATTCAATAATGTATAAAATGCAAAACTTCTGGCAAATTTATCTAAAACCAGAAAATGCTAAGGTCATTTTATTTTTGGAGGCAGTCATCCAGATTGCTGCTGAACTTCCATTTAACTTTCTGAGTCACTGGAGGCAAGTCATCATTCTTCAGCTTTTTTGATGTGGAAGTGTACTAGATTACAGTAAGCTAAGTTTCCAGACCAGGAAAAGTATGGCTGTTTTGGGAAATATTTCTAGAGAACAAATTTTTGCATCCAAGGATAGCAGCAAATGGAATTATCTATAAAAATGAATAGCATGTATCAAATATATTTAAATAAAGTGTGCTTCTTGATTTGTTTACTTATTTTGTACAAAATAATATATTGTTACACTGTTAGCCATGGCTGTTTATGAGATACAAATCTCATGCTTTAAACTATTATTACTTCTAGTGATCTCTGCCATCTTCACGGGGTTTATACTTGCTACTCTTCAGAAAACCCCAGCTTGTCCTGCCACAGCTGAGTGAGAGAACTGCTGTGACAATTTTCATCTCTGGCATATTCCACAAGGTGATAAAAGTTACAATTACCTCATTTTGCTCTTTCTTTTGGTGTGTTTCTGAAAAACCACTTATAGTTTCAGAATTCCCAGAAATCTGACTGAAGCTGCTTGAACGCCGGCACTGTTGTCTATGTCTTAATATGTCTCTCTGCAGGAAATAATGCATAACAGTTGATTTTCCACATTTTTCTTCCTGACCATCACTCCTACAAGTCAAAATTCTTTAACAGAATATAAAGTGTTCACAAAATTTAGCATGTTTGTCTTTTTATAGATAATTAAATGATATCTCTAAAAGGCAAGTAAAAGAATGGTTTCTTCCTCAATTTCAAATACTATGGTCCTGTGGTTATACTGTGGAAATGTATAATTTCTCAAGATCTACCTTTAGCCCACTGATGGATTCCTGCATTCAATTCACTAAGTTCTGACAAACTGGCTTAGTAACAACCTTTGCAGCTGGACCCCAACAGTCTCATCTTTGTAGTTACAGGCAGAAGAGCTAAGTGATCCCAATCAGCTCTTAGGCTTTTTGCCACTACAGATTCCAAGTAATACCAGATTCCACTGCAGCAGGGAAAGAATTTCTGTCATCAAATGCTCATGGACAACATATTTCAAATTCTAAAGTGATCAGCAATTTCTGCTTCTTTGAGAACCTGTCCAAAGCGATTCCACTGTCAGTGTCCCCTCTCATGACCAAAAAACATAGAAAATGGATCCTACCAGTCCACCTAGACATTGATCATATAATAATCCATCCAAAAATAGCACCTGCTTTTGACATTTCTGCCATGGCATAATATTAGGTAACTGCACTTTGAGCCCAAATACTTGTTCTGATAGGTTTAAAATATGGTGATATCACAATCCTAACACAACTGACACTCACAAAATACCATCCTTAGCAAGCTAATCTAGGTACAGTATAGTCATCAAATCCCGGTGTTCCACCTGACCTTGCTCCTCACACATTTGGATGTGTTCTTCTAGATGAGCTAAACCCCATATTGCCACATGCTTACACCATCACTTTTACATTTGAAGAAAAAAAGCACGGTTGCAACATCTTAGAAAAGCTCATTCCTACTTGAATGTGGTAGCTGAAGTAATAAGCAGAATTTAATAAAAAGACTTAATGACCCAATAAAATGACCCAATGATTCTGAACTAAAATGCATTCATGCAGATAGATCATCATACTGAAACCAGCATTCATAAGCAATCACATCACATACAGTAAAAGTAATGATGCTGTCACAAGCAGAATTTCATTAAGACACATCACACTCCCCAAAGGAAAGTAACTGGGTAAAATTCCATCTTATTAAAATTATATCATTAGAGAGAAGAAAAGAAAGCAAAAAAAGGGAAAAAAAAATCAAGAAAGCAAAATAGGCGAGAACATAAAGTGTAAAGTGGGTAAAATACAATATGGACAAGAAGCAAGGAACACTACTGAATGCAGTGAGGACATGAAGGGCTTAATTCAGATCTTGCTCTAAACTGCTTAGTCTCTTTTAAGATACCTAGAGGTTCATAAGACATACACATGGCATAGTTGAATACAGCACAGGATATACAGGAACTGACAGACAACTTTTTGGAGGTTCATTTAAAAGCCATATGAGATAATCCAGCAACTCAAATGGCACTTGACATCTACAAGGTGAGTAGTATGTGGAATCTTGAGATTCAGATATCTAAATGGAGTAATCTAATTGTAGCTGATACCTAGTATTATCTAGGTGTTTCTACACATCCCTGGCCTCCAGATGCCAAAACCAGCTCCTTTAGCTCTGTGTCTTATTTGTCAGTCCCATGTGGATGTGACAGACACCTGAAGTATTTCAAATATCCCTAGATGCGTATGTACAGGCAAATGAGTTGCACTGTTATTGGCTATCATGGCAATATAAATGCCTCACTAACATGCAGAAATCTGTATTTAGGTACCAGCATTTAACTGTCTAAGACTTGAGTTTAACCCTGCCCAACACGACAAAATCAGGGGATAAAAAGGGGAGTGCAAAGTATCATAGAGGTGGATAGGGAATGAAAAAAAATCAAGAAATTATTTTTTTAAGGTGAAGCTTTTATTTGCATTCCCTTTGGATTCCATGCAGCTGAGAAGCAACATATAAGCAACACAAGAGGCCTGCCTTACAAAAATTCCAGGTGCCATCTGTAAAGCAAAAGGAGACAAAAAGAATGTCTGTCTTGATCAAACTTCATTTAGTAGTTGACAGCAGTAAATGGAAACAAACCAGACAAAAGCAGAATTAAGGTTATCAATAAGGAGAATGATGAAAAAGTGGACATTCAACATCTCTTATTGAATAATTGAGATTATTTGGTAGCTCTTGCATTTTGAAGCTACTAGAAGAACAAAAAAAGTAAAATGGCAGAAAGGACAGAAAGGATAACACTTGCTGTTGAGTCTGCAAGATTATATTTACAGATGCAAGTAACAATAATTTTGCAAATACTAATATTCCTTACCTGTTTTCTGTATTCTACTTCTGTGCATACACTATGCTCACCACCATCACCTTCATCGGTGTAAGTCTCTGCTACTGCAATGGGAACACAGGTACTATGACTGGTTAAAAATTCTCCATATTTCCTTGTTACTGAGGAACTGTCTTCAGTATTATAATACCCAATGTCAGAGCAACTGTTGTCTACATCCTTTCTGACATCTGTCATGGCATAATTATTTTCCTCTATGTGTTTGGCAGAAATTTTCACCAAAGTCTTATTTTTGGCTGTTGTTTTGAGGTTTTGCTTCATTATTTTGCCACAATGATCCAAAATTCTGTCTTTCACAGACTGCAGGCCCTTGTGAATCTGTGCAATGGCAATCTGACATTTAGTCATTTGTCCAGATTCCTCTTGTCCCATTGAGGAGTCAATACTGAACGAGCTCAGCAGCAAGGCAATGAATAGGTTGAGCACCTTAAAATAGTTAAAGTAAGTTGGAGACAGTGCTTCTAACAGAAAAGACATTTCAGAAAACCTGCCTTAGATAAAAAAAAAAATCTCAATCTTGCTTTCATAAATTACTGCCATTAAATTAGTTACTATTATAGTGCAATAATAACATAGCATGACATGACTTCTGGAAGGAATGGCAGGATGAAAAGGAAGGAATTGGGGATTTGGGTATATCAAAAATATTTTCACATGCTCTGATGTACATAATTTATGAGGAGGTAGACATGTTGAAAAACAACAGGAAAAGATAAACTTTAATAACACTACCATCAAAAAGGATCTGGTTTAAACCAACAAACCAAGCAGATGAAAAAGATTTCATCTTATAATATATATACATTAGATCTAGTATACGTCACACAAACCAGAAAATCTGGGTACTGTAAACTTCTGATAATATAAGTTAGTAAGCATTAAAAGCACCAAACAGTCTGGTTATTTGATCCTACCAACACAAAAGATGAAGAAATCAGACACCAAATTATCAAAAGCACTGCACTTCTATACTCTGGGTGAAAAGTAATCTTAGTTTGCTTAGCAGCTACTTCTTGTGTGAGAAAGACAGGGGGAAAGGAAAAAAAGACAGGAGAAAAAGACAGGAGAAAAATATATATTAAGTAACATCCAGAAAAGAGAATAGTGTGAATATTCTTCAAGTGATAAATTTTGCCTCAGAAAAAAAAGAGATGCCAGTGTAACTGCATGCATTCAGTAGGGACTGAAAAATATCTTGAAACTCACCACCAAGTTTCCTATCACCAGGACTAGCAAGAAAATGGGAAGACATAGCCCTTTTCCAGCCACTTCCATACATTCCCACATGGTTTCAATCCATTCTCCACATAATATGCGGAATATAATCAGGAATGAATGACAAAAATCCTTCATATGCCATCGTAAATTCTCGTCAGTGCTTATTTTACAGTAATGTTTCTTATAATGCTCTCCCAAAACCTGCTTTCCTACTACAGCAAAAATAAATACAGTGATAATCAAAACCAGAGTGAGGTTACCCAGAGCACCAACTGAATTTAGAATTATTTTCATCAGAGTATTTAAGGCTGGCCAGGACTTTGCCAATTTGAAGATCCTTAGCTGTAAGTAAAACACAGGAGAACAATGTGAGTGGCAAACACTGCATAGATAGCACAGTACATATAAAAAACAGACTCTGCATCTATCATGCTGTCTTTACTTCATTAACACCATAATAATTTTTCCCCCAGATAAAGGTTTTTAATTATTCCAATCCAAAAGCACTGTGCTTAAGCTCAGATGGTTAATGCTACTGAGAACACAGAACTGCCAAAGGGAGCTTTCAAATTGTTTGTGCTAAGTCAGATACAAGCATGTGTAAGACTATTAGTATTAATATCAATAATAGTAATAATAATCAAGTGGCTTATAGGTACTTGGACAAGACTTACGAAATGACTGCATTTTGGACTAAATCGAATGTAATCAGACAAAAAGAATTTTTTCTATCTCTCGCCCAACAGACTTAAAATAGGATCTGAAAAACCATATGGGATCTATTCTGTGTACCCTTGTGAGTTAAACAAAGGACATTTTTAGTCAAATTCGCATTCAGGGCTGTTAAAGCCTCTCAGTCATGATACACAAAATGAAACAATTCAACTGAATTTCTAAGTGCGATGACTGAAAACCTATGAACAGTGTTAGAAGTAATTAGTAAAATTAGCATTCTAAATACACAGTAAGGACATAAGCAAAAAAGTAACATTATACATAGACATATCAGAGCTACTCCTCATTTTTCATAAGATGGAAGAAGAAAGACTTGAAGAGATCTCAAGACCAAGTCTAAGCCTTGAGGAAAGCTGTGTTATTTTACAAATCTCAACTCAAAAGGAAAAGCTGTGAAAGAACCTTTGCAATCCTTAAGGTCAGAAAAACACCCAGATAATTTCTCTTCCTAAGTGAGTATCTAAAATGCAGTTGAGCAGACCTAACAGAGAACCAGTGAATTCTCTTGCTAGGTCAAATCTTCAAGGGGGCACACTGTGAAGGCAGATTTGTAGTGTCCATTATACACAGTATAATCAACATATTGAGCATATTTTTAAATATTCATTTAATATTCACTCTAATCAAACATTCATGTTGGCTTACTATTTATTAAGAAAGGGAACTGATTTAACAGATTCATCAGTAAAATAATTTGAGGGCACTGCACTGTAATCTTTTACAAATCTATACAACACATGTACTTTTAAAAAAGCATAAAGAAATAATTACCAGCCTGAAATACGACAGATTTTCTTTAAAGCTTATTAGGCCAATCATAACAACTATGCTATCAAAAATATTCCATTTTTGCTGAAAATAGTTGTAAGGATCTAGAGCGATGATTTTCAAGATCATTTCTGCTGTAAAAATCAGAGTGAAGACCTGGAAGGAGGAAAAAGGAATTCAGCAAAGAGTGACTGAAAAATTATGTCTCCTTATGGGGCTGTCCCAGTATAAATATGGGGCTATAACTCCATATTCACTTTAACATAGACCTAACTTACCTTGTCACTTATAAAAATCATTTGCTGGTAATTGCGTGGCATGTCAGGATACTCCAGAGCCATGAATATGGTATTCACAATAATGCAAACCATGATTAAGAGATCAACAAATGGATCCAAGATTACCAATTTCACCTTCTCTTTCACTAGTCTCCAGAATGGACAACAATTCCAAATTAGATACTTTTGAGCAAATCGTTTGCACAATGAAGGGCACTTTAGTTTTGACTCTTGCAGTTCTAAATGACAAAGAGGGAAAGTGATATACAAATGATCTTACATGGAATTTCACAGTATGAAGAAAAAAACAATCAGTCATGGGAAAGACTAAAAAGAAAAATCAATCTCGTGAACAGAATGGCATCACTGAAAAAAATTATTTCATTCATTCTACACAAACCAATCACAAGCTATTTTAAGGTCACCTCCAACAAATCTCATAATTACAGAAACAGGTGATATGATATTATCCACCCCTTCATATATTTATTATACTACTGAAGGATGATAAAGGATCTGCAATAAGGAGAAATAACCATTGCTGGGAAAACTGACAACTTATTTTCTGTGAGTTGCATCTTCACAGTCACAGATGCAGCATGGGTTGGAAAAAAGTTCAGGACAAAATGAAGCAGGGCGTCCCCCATATCTTGTTGCCCACAGTTGAGGATAGCATTATAAGATAAGATGGAAGGGACCTCTGGAGATGTCTAACGCAACCCCTTTCCCAAAGCAGGGTCAGCTGTGAGGTCAGAGACTGTGTAACCTGTTCCTCTGTCTGACTGTCCTCATGGGGAAAGCTTCTCCTTACACACAGTTTGAAGCTCTCTTCTTTCAATTTATGTCTGCTGTCTCATCTTTCAGCTGTGCACCCCTCTGAAGTGCCTGGCTCCACCTTGATAATGTCTTCCCTATGCAGTGGAATGCTGATATTAACCTCCCCTCAAAACCTTCTCTCCGGGCTGAACCAGCCCAGCACTGGGCAAGTGCTCCAGGCCCTGACTTGGTGGCCCACAACTGAACTCAATGTATTTGTTGTACTGGGAAGGTTGAGGGACAAACTGGGTATGGTGTATGGTCTAGTAAGTGCGTAATAAAGGGTGATAATCACTCTTCTCCTGGCTATGCTCTTTTTAATATTGCACAGGATACTGTTAGCCATTGCTGCTGCAAGGCCGTGTTGCTGGCCACGCTCAGCCACAAGGCCTTCCCCGCAGAGCTGCTTCCCAGCCAGCCAGCTCCCAGCCTGGATTGCTGCACGATGTTCTTGCAGATATGCAGAAGTTTACATTTGTTCTGGTTGAATTTTTGAAAGGTTCCTGTTGGCCCATTCCTCCAGCCTAAGCCCCTCTAGATAGCAGCCCTTACCTTCAGTGTATCGAGTGGTTTCCCCCTCACAACTTGGTGCCTTCTGCAAAATTCAAGAGCAAACCCTCTGTTGCATCCTCCAGGTCACTTAGGACAAGATGTATCCTAGGATACACCACTGTGGTATTCCACTTGTTACCTGGCTCCACATAAAATAGATCCAGTAGAATATGACCTGTTCATTAGACACCTGAAGCCCAAATGTCCAACCATTTTTTTGTCCTGCTGCATGGTCCACCCATGTAGACCCTAATACCATAACTCGATGAAAAAATACTGTGGGAGAATGTTAAAAGCCTTGTTAAAGCCAAGGTAAATGAAAACATCGTTCTCCTCTCATCCACAAACCTCAGTCATTTTATTGTACAGGGGAATCAAGTTGGTCAGGCATGATTTACTGAAATTTACATTTGATTGCAGTATAATTTCCCCCACTGACTTTTAAAGTAATACTGATTGTTTGTGACACTTTGATCTCTTAGGTCAAGTTATACTAATTACCATAGGAAAAACACTACAGAATGACTTACGCAAATTATCTGTAATAACAGTGGCTGCACTCATTAACCTCTGTCTTCGAAAAGGATCATTAATAGAGTCCACTGACAATTCATAGGACAGCAGTATCTGCCTCTTTGGTTAGAAAGACAACAGAAGATAATATAACAAGGGAATATGAATAAATGGCAATATAAAAATTGTGTCCAGCGTAAGATAAATATGCCTTTTTAAATATACACTGTAATGAAGCCTTGGCTTGCTGAAAGAATGTAAAACAAAACAATACAACAATATCATGTGTTTGCCTTTGAAGGCAAAGGACATTTCATCAGAACCAGAAATATTTTTCAAGCTGTTTCCTTCTGAAAATATTTAACAACAATAATGCCATTATATAAGAAGTATAGGATCATTAGCAGGGGAGCAAAGGAAAAAAATCATTCCATTTTTAAGTGAATGGTAAAAAGTGCATACAAAAAGAACACTGATGATCAGTTTGAATAAATTATTGGCTATTTAGCTACAAATTATTTATTAATAATAAACTATATAAATATTTATTAGTATTAAGAATAGTTATTTAGTGAATCAAAATTATCAGTTTTCTGAGCCCAATTAAGCTTATCAAGACCTATACCAATATTGAACTGACTAAAACAAAGAATGAGACTATTTTTGTTTTCATTAGAAATTGCAAAATACTACCCTCAGTGTTCCTGATGTGCACTGAAGAACAGGCAGGCCAACACCTGTATCTTATTGTACATGCTGAATTATTATTCAGTGTCCTATATGATATCAAAGACTCAGTTCATGACACATTAATACCACTCCCCTACACATGCACACACACACACACACTTGTTAAAGACGAAGTAGACTATTGTAAAACGCGCGTTGCAAAGAATAGGTGAGTCTCTGAGGCAGAGAAAAACAGAAAGAACGAAGATTACAAGATCAGGGAGGACATAATTATAACCACCAGGTGACAGGGAGCTACTGACTGACCACATCATAACGCACAGTACCTTAGTATTCCCTTTCAGCACAAATTCATTTGTTTCATTTTCTTTCTGTGTGTGGGGGGTATATAAGTAAAGATATGTCATGTAATTTACGGTAATATGATTTTTATGAACATATTCCATAAACCTGTTATTCAGGGAATGAAACTGATATTCTTGGCCTAAGGGGCTTAATAATAATTATTTCTTTTTGCCTCTCTGGTATTTTAATGACTTGAAAAGCTAAGCAAAACTTAGGTGATAGAACTGTCATAGAATAGACATATAAAATGAATTTATAATACAGTGATAAAATGTTCTATCTGTATTTTTTCAAAATCTAAAAGACTCAATTTGACTACTCTAATCACATCCCAGTTACCAGTGCAACTGGTCCTTTCATTCCTTTCTATAATGTTTGATGTCTCGGAGGAGAGAAACAGAGAAAAATTTTTGTGACAGCCTGACTGAAGCATTCAGAGTTAGCATTTTTCAGAAAGGTTAAGAGCATTCATCAACACTGAACTGGTTAGTGCTGCTCATCTATCCCTAGCTGGATTAAATAACTGGTGGTGAGAAGTCCTCTGGCAAACTGGGATTTAAAATAGGGATATGCACTAGAGAAAAAATCCATTCAAGTTGTTATAGAACTGATTACATTCTCTCAAAAAGTTTCTGCCCAATATGCGTATTTCTCTTTGACTTAGCATCTTTAGCCTCTTTTTGCAATTAGAGTAGAGTACGTTGTTTGAAGAATCCTTCAGTCAAGGTGTTATTTGGACACAAACATCTATTTTTGCACCATCTGTTTTTGCAGTCAACCCTGTTTGGTCTAAGTCACAAGCCCATACTGGAGAATGGCTGTTGCTCAGACACTATAAGGGCATTAAAAGCTTTCTTTTTAGATGTTGTTGAAAATAACTCAGTAATATGGATAATTGCCTGAGAATTACTTTGGAACATTCAGCTCAAGATTAAAATATCCTAATATAAGCATCTAAATGTGGATGTCTACATAGAGTCAGAGAAAAATTAAAGTTGGGAAAGTCCTCTGGAAGTCCTCCCACTCTATCACTCAAAGCAGAACAAACTTCAACAATAGGGCCTTTTCCAGCTACATCCTGAATATCTCCAAAAACAGTGATCCAAAAATTTCTTTGGATGACCTGATACGGTGAGGTTTTTTTGTTCCCTTGATATATAATCATATTTTTTCTTGTTGCAACTTGTTCCCATTGACTTTTCACTGTATATGAAGATCTTGGCTCCTTCTCTTTATACAATCCCATTAGATATTAGTAGAGAGCAATAATCAGCTTCTTCCCTTTCCCTTTTCTTCTTCAGGCTGAAAAAATTCAACCTCTCCATCCCTCCTTGCACATCATGTGCAACAGTCCCTTAATCACCTTGCTGGCCTTCACTGGCTTTGCATGATATTGCAACCTAATCCTTCTACTGGAGAGCTCAAAACTCAACACACTACCCCAGGTACAGTCACAGACGCACTGGGCATGCCAACTGAAGATACATACTTGGACTAAACACTGAAAAGGTAACAAATCTATATTCTACATGGACGCTGGGCCATTAGTAACATGACAATAAGGACTGTCCATTAGATATATGGTATTTTACCAGTGTGAAAGGTACTGTGAAAAAACCCCAAGATTAAGCAAAGTAAGAATTACAAGTCTTAATAGCAGTTTCTTAATGGATTTTGAAAGGAGTGATGAGGAGAGGAGCCAGAAGTCACTGCTGTAAGCAAGATGTGAAATAGAATGTGTGGGATGCATCCTACTATTCAGACATCTGCATTTAATTCATCCCTGTGAACAATGCATCTAAAATCCCATTAAAATTGATGCATATTTTTTTGATGTGTGATTCATCTAAAGTGTCTGAAGCTATTTGAGGTGATCTGATGAGATATTTGGTATTTGAGACATCCACAGTCTCAGACTTAGCAGACATGGCACATCATGTCTGTACCCTTCTGTAGAGTACATGGAGGCCAAGTAAGACACTCCAGAAATATTCTAATGTCACTAGGTATCAATTTATGACCCAAAAAAAATAAGTCTCCATTAGACTCTGAGAGTTTAGAACCTAAATCACATGTAGACACCTGTAAACAAAAATCTGGAGCACAATCCAGTTGCCTAAATCTAGGAATTTAGTAACACTTGAGATGCCATAATGTATTTGAGATATCTACACAGTGCTGTAAAATGTGCCACTGATGCCAAAGACATCTAGGATATTCAACCTGTCCAAGAACATCTAAAATGGCACTAGATGCTTATAGTTAGACAAGTGAATCATGCTCCTAAGATTAGAAATCTTCATACTGAACTAAATCCGACCCTAAATATTTAGATAAGAGAATTAGCTGTGTGTACAGAAAAAGAAAGGTTAGTTCATTAGGGAAATTCTAAAACTTACAGGATTTTATATGTTTGCTTATGCAGAACAATAGAGATGCTGACAGATCTCACTACAGCTGTAAGTGCAGAGGACTACAACGTGTCATAAGTATGCCACTGACAGGCACTTCAAACTTTCCTTTCAAGTCCATATAGAGCTGTCTTCCTCTGGTCCCAAAGCCTAATTTACAGATTGCTTTAAAAACAAGTTAATCCAATGCATGCAAGAAGGAGATTAAAAGAAATGAAAACAAAAAAGGAGGGGAAAAAATTGCAAATAAAGCAAGCTTTTCTGCTCATCACATTGTCATATCACATGCCAGTCTAATGAATATATTTTCTATTTTGAATACTTACAAGCTTCTTGTGGCAGTGACCAGGCTGTGAATTAAATATATGCTCCTCTTTGGCATGATTACCTAAAATTAAGCTTTCTCTTGAAATAGGTTTTTCTTTCTTCATCTCTTTTTCTTTAGAATTTTTCAAGTCAGCAACTGACATTTCAGATCTGACATGTAAGGCCTTATTACCTTCTCCCGCAGCCAACATCTGTAAAAGGAACAGCAAAAGGTCTGTCTATTAACACAAAGCAAGTGCCAATGCATGGACTAAGATCATATACAGTTTAATTATTATGCTATCTGAATGCTTTGCACTAACAATTCCTACCTTTCAAATATCAAACTACTATAAAAAGATAGGAGTACAAAATGGTTTTCACAATACTGAAAGATAAAGCAGGGTTACTTATCAGCTAATGCAATTAAAGTTTGTCCTTGCCACTTTAGATATTGTATTTTGTATCTGAATTACAGAATATTATGGTGTATCCTTTTACTCTCCTTTTCTCGCTTTGGAAAGGACCTTGAGACCAAAGACAACAGAATACTAAGGGCTCAAACTAAATATTAAAATGTCAAACCTTTCTTAACTACTAATCCTGTTAAAAGAAAAAAAAGAATGAAAAAAAGCCTAAGTAAAGCTTGGCAAACTGGAATTTTGGGAAGAGAAACAGAGGCCTGTTGACAGTTGTAGAGGAGGAATTTGGTAAATTGATGATGTCTTTCACCTTAATGATGAAATTGGATAGTTGCTAGAGAATATTTGTATGTCCTCTTATAAGTTTGACTTTTCTGATTGTTATCAGGAAATCAGAGGTATCTTTATGAAAAGCTAGAAGATAAAACATGTCTTACCAATAATTTTCAATCTATCTTGTTGCCTCAGATCAGTTTCACTTCTCAGAAATAAAACAAAAGCAACAAAGTGATCCCTGGTCCCGTACAGGCCAATGAATGAATGAATCTAGGCAATACTATGACAAGAGGAAACACTGTAGAAATCTGATTTGTGTCTATCAGCTCTCCAAACCAACAGCAAAGAAACTAATGCAGTCTCTGGATTTCCTTCTACATTATTATGGAACTAATGGCATTAGTCTGGCCATAGACTATCCCTGCTCTTGTCAACTGGTAGACCTTCTGCATGCAGTCACTCAAAAAGAAGCATGACACCCCTTAAATAGCTGAGCACAGTGGCTCTCAGAAAGCTTGCATTTTTAATCAATCCTGAAATCTATCAGCATCAGAACTTCCAATCCCAGGGAACTGTAGAAATGAAAACTTTTATGGATGGAAATGTATCCACTCATACTTCCTTCATCAGACTACACAGTAATAGCAAGAAGGAGTATCCAGATAAAGGAATTTTTGTACACAACAATAGTGGTAGTGTACAAGAATGGGGCAAATCACAGAGTGCAGGCACCTATGTAATACCATAAAAGATATATACCTGCCAGCAAGCCATTCCCATACAATGTCATGTCTGCAAATCCTAAAACTTAATATGATTTATCTTGGACTCACATTGTTTGTTTGCATCATAAAAATCTTTATATCTATTTAAATATAAGTACATGTGTATTTATAAAGAGACAGAGAGAAAGAGAAACTAAATGTAAGAAAGTATGGTAAGAAGCAGTTGTTTAATTAAAAACTTTTTTCTCTAATTCACAAACAGAAGAAAACAAAAAGAATCGCATATTATATATTAAATATAACAACTTACAAACCTGTTCTTTCTCTAGAATTTGTTTGGCATCCTGAAGTAACTTTTCCTTTGCCTCTGTTTCAGCAACAGTAGCTCTATTTTGCTCTTCATATGCCATAGTTACTACAGCCAAGATCAAATTGAAGAGATAAAATGAGCATAAAAAGATGACCCCCAGAAAAAATAAAATGTAGTTCTTTCCTGATGTACGGATAGTCTGTGAGGAAAAGGTAAAGGTTGTAGTAAATTCTTAACAAACTAACATTTACAGTAGACTTTCAAACTAATTTTAAACAATTTATTTTCCTATACTATATAAAAGGTCAATATACTGCACTGTTTTCATTAAACAGTAGGATCTACCTCTGGTCTAAGTTACACTGAAGGTCTATAAAATACATCTAATCAAGAGTTCCCCTGGTCTTCAAGTAAATAAATTTCAGCTCTCGAAAACTTCTCTGTGATCATACAATGTTTTCTCTTTATGTAACAGACCATCAGACATTCATAATGATGCCATGTACTGCAGAGAAGAATTAACAACATCCATTCTTAAAATTAAATTAAATATCTCCCAGCAAATCGGGTAAATGTTCAGAGTTTAAGTTATGAGAAGACAACTTCAGCTGTAAAGAGATATACAGGTGACTACAGAAGTAATTAATAAAACTCAGTAATAAGGATGAAAACTAGGATTATCTAAACAATCTTAAAAGATGCTATAATTACATAATCAGAGGCAGTATTTACAATTTATTATTGATTGTTTATTCTTACATTTTTAAATGGCAGCAGAGAATATAGCCCAAAATTAAGCTCTGAGACATTAAAAACCAAAACCCACGTAACCTCCAAATGGCAAAAAGAAGATGTATCCCTTTTTTAAAAATCATTTAATAAAGGTTTCTGGAAAAAAGTTGAAGTAGACCATATGAAAGTTACTGAACAAGGCCAAGGATAGTTCTCTTCTAGCAAAGGCACTGCATAGGTGGAAGGGATCCAGAGATTCCTCTACATGCAATTTTTGAATAATTTTTGTCAAAAAACAGAATTTAAAAATTACGTTCAACTCTCTGAATTAAAAACATAAAGTATGCAATTTTTTTTGTACCAGTTGTCAAAAATTATCTGAAATGAAACTGTAAATGTTGAGTCAAAGAGTTTGGTGAGGAGTCAGGACTTAAAAGGAAGAGAAACAGAGTATGTAACAAGTCCTCATATCCTCTGCATCAGAGGTGAGCTGCCTAGACAGATCTACTATATACCCCAGTCCTTTGGTAGTTACATGTCAACATTTAACTATTAATCACTGATCCAAGTGTATTCTCCAAAAAACTATGAGCATTCACAGCAGTATTGCTCTTATCCAATGTCACTTGCAGAAGGTGTTAGTTACAATTTAGTCACTTGAAGCTACTTCCTTAATATTTATGCTGATTTTAAAAGAAATTTGCTATTGGTAATTTTAAAACAAGTGCAGATTTTTCTAGTGGAAATAAAGCTCTAAATTGCATGTCTAAAGTCATTCTAGCAGGTAATAAAAATACTTACTTGTCTGTAGAGACGCTCCCAGTAATCCTGTGTCATCAGACGGAATAAAGAAAGGAAGGCCCAGCCAAAATGGTCAAAACTTGTATAACCAAAGTCAGGATTCTTCCCAATCTTCATGCAGCTATAGTTTTCTGGGCACTCTTTTCTAACCACAAAAGAAACGTTAAACAAAACTTACTTGCAATATTAGATTGTACCTGAAAGCATCCAGTACACAACATCAAATATAGATTTGTTCAGTTTATCTGGAAGTCTGTTTGATTATTCCCCAATGTAATTCTCCCAGAAGGGCTGATTTATATCAGACAGTCCTAGAAATCCATTTGTCTAGTCAAAGAAACTAGACAGAAACTCCAGTTCTGTCTACTTTTGGCCTAGACAGAAACTCTCCACCGAAGTAGGATACACACAAACAAATCGATAGGCAGGGGAAAAAGTGGAAATGTGTTTATTTTTAAATAATTCACGAAGATGAGGAGAGTTGATTAATATCTCATAACTCTTTACTGATCTGTTCCCCTCCTCCTTTATATCATTCTACATTACCATTATATTACCAGTAGTTAGCAACAAAGCACATACAATTGCTTGCATCCTAGTACTTCATTCTTTCTCTGATGTGAAATACTGGGGTTTTGATTCAATTACACACACGCACACTCCACCCTCCTGAAAAATCACTGCCATTCCTTTAGGCCAAAAATAAAACCAGAGTACATCTGGAAAAAAAAATAAGAAAGTACTAAAACTGTTTTGTTCACTTACTCAGGATTTGAACTGAACCCACAGAGCAATATTTCAGAGGATTTATTCATTCTGTAGCAGATATCTAATAAAAAAAAAAAATCAAGGAATCATAAAATCAGAAGTTGTCTGTTCCTACAGTACTCTGACACTAAACCATACATTACTGCATTTTAAAAAGCATCCTGATGGACGAAATCTCTGTGAAAGACTATTTTCAAAACAAAGGGCATACAGGACTGTTTCTCAGCAGATCAGTCCCTAAGGCAATTAAAAAAAAAAAATTAACTGTACAACTCCCAAAGTAAGATTTTATTTGATCTCCAGTAATAATAAGGATCTCTGTAAGAAGTAGTCAAAATCCCTGAACAATATAGATTAAGTGATGGAAAAAATAATTTTCTGTGCAGTATCTCTAAAATTAGAGTCCCTTTGTAATGTGCATAGATAAAGAAGTAAATGCTTACAGAAAACTCAGTCCCTTCTATCCCACAGACTGCTAATCTTTCTCCAAATCCAAGATTCACTAATCTCACATTCAGTTGTCCCAGAGACTTCATATTACTATTTGTACAAATGGAAAGACCTATCTTCTAGTGAGAAATACATGCAACTATATTTTAGCATCTCTGTGAAAAAAAAAAAAAGACATGCACAGATTATGTAAAGGGAGAAAATAATAAAATTTACCTTCATCATTTGGTACATATATCTTGGCATCCTTACATAATGTGTCATTGTATGTAGCATTACTGAGGACACATTTGGATGTTAAATTGCCCATAAAAAGCTGGAGGCCTATTAGAGCAAATACACTCAAGCAAAAAACAGTCAAGATCAACACATCAGTAAGTTTCTTAACAGATTCAATAAGTGAATTTACGATGACTTTCAGACCTAGAAAAATAAGATTCAATAATACGCAAAATGAGAAGAGGAATGCAGCAGCGTTCCCATATGACAATATACAACAGTTGCAAGTATGTTAAAAACAGTGTAAATGGTTTTGTAACTTCAGAGTATTAAATGAGGTAAAACAAAGCATAGGAATAAGTAAAGTATTTTTACTTACATTTCCTAATCATAACTTATTTGGCTTTTACTTCCTTCTAACATTAATTTTGCTAATTTTAAAATTCTAAATTAAGATGGCATCTAAGCAAACTCTTATGATCTTTAATGAATACAGAGAGATTTCTGTGCTTGATTAACATTAAACAACTACTTCACATTGTGCCATATACACATTACAGTAAAAGAAAGATTCTGCTGACCTCAGGGAATTCTGTCTTAGAAGATAATGCCCTACAGATGTCACCAGTTTAAAAGCAAAAGAGTATGACACTGGGAAGGGAACAAATGTTGGGGACCACCCAGCTGGAACGCAGCTTGGCAGAAAGGACCTGAGGGTTCTGGTGGACACCAAGTTGAACATGAGCCAGCAATGTTGCCTTGCAACAACTACAGTGAATGGTATCCTGGGCCACATTAGACAAAACATGGGCAGCAGATCAAGGGAGGTGATCCTTCCTCTCTACTCAGCACTAGTGAATGTAATGAGTCCAGTTTTGTGCTCCCCAGTACAAGAGAGACATGGGCGTACTGGAGAGAGTCCAGCAAAGGACCAAAAAGATGATGAAGGGACTGGAGCACCTCTCCCATGAGGAATGACTGAGAGAGCTGGGACTGATCAGCCTGGAGAAGGGAAGGCTCAAGGGGGATCTCATCAATGTATATAAATATCGGAAGGTAGGGGGCAAAGAGGACAGAGACAGGCTCTTTTCAGTGGTGCCAAGTGACAGGACCAGAGACCATGGGCAGAAACTGAAACACAGAACATTCCCTCTGAACATCAGGAAACACTTTTCTAGTGTGAGGGTGACCGAGCACTGGCACAGGTTGCCCAGGGAGGTTGGGGAGTCTCCGTCCCTGGAGATATTCAAAAGCCACCTGGACATGGTCCTGGGCAACCAGCTCTAAGTGGTCTTGCTTGAGAGGGAAGGTTGGACAAGATAACCTCCAGATGTCCCTTCCAACCTCAACCATTCCATTATTCTGTGAAAATGGGTTATATATAAACCGAAGACCAATATTCTGGCAGAATAACTCAACTTTAAATATGACATAGGCAGAGAGTAGTATCCAGGATTTTTCTAGAAAACTTTCAGAAGAAAAATGTACAATTACATTTAATCTCTGTACTCCATGGTGAATATGAATGGAAAAGTATCAACGGGTGGTTTTGACATTAAAAATTAAGCATTTCCCATGTTTAATTCCTGTTATAATTCCATGCCATAATCAAAAATATATTTGTAAGTAAATACAAATGGTAAAGTTAACATATATTATGACAGTGGGATATATAGCCATTTATAGATTTTTCAAATTAGTTTTTTCAGTTAGATTCTGAAATCCATACTTTAGTATCCTAATTTTTGGCTTGATTTACAAAGATACCAAATATGTGGACATCTTATGCAAAATACTGTTGAAAGTATTATGCTTAATCCAGATACTGGCTGTGATTAGTAAACAAACAAACGGAACTCTGAAATATTGTGAAGTCAGCATTTTGGTAAATAAACCATAGAAGATGAAGCTAATGAAGTATAACATGAAACCAGAATGTTAGTATAGCCATAAACACAATGTACTGAATAGGGTGTGCTGCTCAGGAAAGATAAAAGTAAAAAGACAAAGGCACTGGGCTAAGTAAAACTGAACATCAGTGGTGGGATAGAAAAAGAAGAAAATACAAGAATTTGTCTTCATCAAAATAATTTTGAGGAAAGATGATAAAAAAACATTCTGTTAGGATGCTGCTGAGAGTTACTACTGACTGCAAAACAGTCACACCTTGGGATCCCATTAACCATCACAAAAAGTGACTGGAAAACAGAAGGCAAAAACAGGAAAGGAATTAGAAATAGTACACTGTTGAAGCAGAGAGAAAATGAGTAAGACATGTCATTCCTTACCTGGTATTACTGAAATAGCTTTCAAAGTCCTCAGTACTCTGAAAGTTCGAAGAGCTGAAACCTTGCTCATACTTTTACACATGGTAACATACCTATAAAATTAAACCACCATATAACTGAATGACAAAGATCTAGCTTTTCAGAGCATATGCATAATGAGCATACAGTAATGAAGAAGTGACAGAAAATAAATAGGTCAAAGATGTCCTAAAGTAGATGTCTAAAGTTAGGAATCTAAGTCCATTTTTAGGTATTGATATAAAATAATGAGACTTTTGAATAGTGCCTCTGAAAAGAAACAAGTTTTTGCTCAGTATGGATTTGGATGCTTAACTTTTGAAGAGTTGATCCATCCAAATGTCAAATAAATATAAAGCCTCCAATGTCATAACCACTACCCCTCATACTGAGGCTAACCTGATTTAGACCACATGAAATATATGTTGCAGCTATCTCAAAACTACATAATATATATTTTAGGAGAAGAGAGTTGAGCAAAACTAGGTTTACAATATGTTAGTTCTGTACTACATGGCTGTCTCTAAATTTTATTTAACAGTCAGCTAAGAACTTGACTATTGAAGCTAGTTTCAATTTAACCATTTCAATAATTCGAAAATTTCAGAAAATGAGTATTTTAAGACTTGCATAGTCTATATAGCACTTCATGTTTAACAGGTTACTCAATATTTTATAAGACTTCTTTCATGTCAGAATGGAAATTAATTGTGACTCATCTTATGACAAGGTCATAACTGGTAACAGAATTCCTTAAAATAAAAAGTCTCAGTAACAGAATATGAGAAACATTGGTTGGAAAGGACCTCTGGAGGTGATCTAGGTGATCTCCCCCTCAAAGCACGAATTTTGTCAGCAGTAAGTCAGAACACTATGGCTTTGCCTAGGTTGGAATTAAATAATTCTCAAGTAGCTTAAGTAATAACTGAACTTGAGTTAACGAGTTCATTTCCAAATACTTTTATTTGTTGCATGATAGGACCCCAAAAAAGCAGAAGAGATACTATATTGCAAAGGGCTTATAACTGCTTGAACATAAATGAATTAGGAGCATGGGTAGGGAAGTAGGACCATAAAATGAAATTGTTCATACAGCTGTTGGACTACTTGATAGTTGCTGATGATTAAGAATATGTAAGCTCCTTAGTGGTTTATAGATTACTCAAAAGAATGTTTTGTTCATATACATATATAGGTGTGTGATGACATCTGAGTACATAACCTATTACTTACAAATAAGGAAAAAACAGTCAGCAATGTCACAGTTGACAGCAGCCTTTGCTACAGAGCCCATGAGATGGTGGAGTTTAAGACCCCAAAAGAAGCAAGACGAACAGCACAATAAAAATCCTGGACTTTAGGACAGCACATTTCAGCGTGTTCAGGGATCTGGAGCTGCCCCAGAGGGAAAAGTGGCCCCTAGAACAGCTGGTTGATCTTCAAGGTTATTTTCTTCAAAACACAGGAACAACGTACTCTACACTGGAGAGAGCCAAGTGGACGTGGCCAAAAACCAGCTTGTCTGAACAGGGGGCTCCTGACTAATCTCATGTTCAAAATGAAAGTGTGCAGGAAGTTGAAGCAGTGAGAGCTCTGGGAAGGGACACTAAGACATTGCCAAGCATGCAAGGATGAAGCAAGGAAAGATAAAGTTCAGTTGAAGTTGAAGCTAGCAAAGGATGTGAAAGGCAACAAGAGGGCTATTTTAAGTACACCAGTAGTGAAAAAATGACTAAGGAAACTGTGGGCCAGCTGTTCAAGGAGGCAGGGAGCTTAGCGACAAAGAACGGGCAAAAGCTGAAACTTCTCAACACTGCCTTGATTTGGTCTTTACCAGTGAGGCCTGCTTTCAGGTCTCCCAGGTCCCTGAGTCTAGTGTCAAAATCTGTGGAAGTGAAATATTATCCATGCATCTATGTGCTGTAATCAAAGGGACAAAGTTCAGCTGGCAGCTGGTTACTAGTGGCATCACTCATGGTTTAGTCCTGGGGTCAATACTGTTTAACAATTTCATTAACATCCCCAAAAATGGAATAGAGTTTGCCTTTAGCAAGTTCACAAATACTAAACTGCAGGGGAGCAGTCAATACACGGGGTGGCAAGGCTGCTCTGCAGAGTGAGCTAGACAGACTGGAATTATGGGCTGTAGAAACCTCATGAAGTTCAGCAGAAGCAAAGGTAAAGTCTTCCACCTGAGTCAGGATGACCACAGGTAGGAGCTGAGGGCAGCTTTGCAGAAAAGGACCTGGGGTCAGGCCAGACAAATTGAACATGCACAGCACCCTTGTGATGTGGAACGCCTATCACATCTTGGGCTAGATTAGCACAAGTTTAGCTCATATGTTGAGGAGTCTAGCTCATACATCCAAGGAAGTGATTTATGAGACTGAATCTGGAGCACTGTGTCCAGCGTTGGGCTCTCCAGGACAAGAAAGACATTTTCCATACTGGAGCAGGTCCAACCGGGGCTCTAAGGAGGGCAGTGAGCCAATTAGATGGTTCAACTGTTAGGCTGAATTGTATTTTTTGAGTCTGGAAATGAGCAGGCTAATGTGGTGACAGAGCAGGAATCCTCTTGCTGTCTTCAGCTGCCCAGTGTAAGCGCTTAGAGAAGATGGAGCCAGGCTGTGCTGTTCTTAGAAACTCACCATACACAAGACATTTCAATTAGAAATTTGGGAGGGAAATAACGACAATACATTTGGAATGGGTTGCTCAGAAAGGTTGCCGAATCTCCATGCTTAAAGAAACTCTGAACTTGACTGGACAATGACCTGAGCAACCTAACCTAAACTACTACTGCTTGTAGCATGTAGCATGTTCCCCACATGATCTCCAGAGGTACCTTCCAATCTAAATTACTCTACACCTCTAATAAATTAGAATAAGACAACTGAAAACTATTCAGAAATGTTAAATGACAGAGATTTGCTTTGAAAGCTCTGAGATTGGGCATGAGTCAATCTGTTCACTGTTGCAAGTAAGACTATTTTACTTTCAAGATTAACATTCTGTATTTGAGATGCAAATTCTGACTTGGTTTCTTCCTCATTTCTTGTCCACCCAGCTAGTCAGTTTTGATATGAATTTAAAAGTGACCACAGCAATGATCCACTAGGCCTATTATCCTGTCTTCAAGAACGACTCACAACAGATGCTTACAGGGGAGTTTAGAATAAAGGCAGTGATGCTTCCCAGATTTAATTGTTCCATCAGATTTATAGCTCAGGGCCTTCCTGAAGAAGACATAGTATCTTTGTGTTAAAAATAACCCTCAGTACATTTTCATCCAGCATTTTGTCCAGAAGCCTTCTGAACGCAACTAAGTTTTTTGCATCTACAACCTCCTATGGGAATATGCCTACATGTAGTGTGAAAAACTACTCCTTTTTTATTCTGCCATCTAACAACTACATTTGGTGCCTTTAGCTCTCGTGGTAGGAGAAAAAGATGAATTATTTATTCTCTTTTTGGTTCTATGCCACAGACCTCAACCACCTTCCTGCTCTGTATTTTTTTCATGAGAGTTCTACTCTATTTAGTTTCTTATTATATTGAATACAAGATATACATCTTCTCTGTACCATTTTTCATTCTGTCATCTTCTAAGATGTCAGGAGCAAAACTACATATAGTCCTGAAGAAAAATACAGGCCACACAGTGAAATAATTATGTGTTCTGCTTCTTTATTTCTTACGTACAATGTCTTCATTTTCTATTTCCTTCTCTGACCATGACTGCACACTGGAGCAGTTGTTTACACAAGATTATCTATTTCAATTACAACATTGTCTTCCCAACAAGTGAAAGCTATTTCAGAGCCCATAACCATGTATGTAAAGCTATGTTTGTTCTCCCTTTAGCATCACTTCACATTCTTGGGATTTCATCTGCTATTTATCACCATGTCATTCAACACCTTGTGACCCACTTTGGATCCTTCTCAAATGAGTTTCAGCTGATCCAAAGCACAACTAAAACAATATAGAGGCATGCTTGGTTTCAGCTGTCTATGCAATTGCCTCTTAACAAAATTCACATATGTACTAAATTGAGAACAATCAAACAGTTCTAAGATGAGCTTTGCATTTAGGTCTATGACTATTTTCCTCTTTGCAGATATGCAAAGGGTGATTCAATCACAGTAACTCTTAAGGAGGTAGGATGCCAACCACTCTAAAGAACTTCAGCAATATCAAATAGCATTTTATCTGTGTGTTTGTCCCTTAAGTGTAAAAGAACTGGGTTTTACTTACATTACAACAATAACTACAAGATCCAAGCAGTTCCACGGATCTCGAAGAAAGGTAAATTCATTCCAAACAAATCCTCTTGCTAGTACTTTTATCAATATTTCACCAGTATATATGCCAGTAAAAAGATATCTGAGAAGGAAAGTGTATATTAAACTTATAGAAATAAAAATATTAATGAGATTGAGACGTATTCAGACACATTTCTACTTTTTCTATGATTTAGTCACTGGATAAACATGAAAGTAGAAAAGGTGAAGTAAAATAGGACAAGTTACATTACTTTCAGAAACATCATGGGAAGATGCCTTCCTGAATTTTAGTAAGATTTCCATGTAAATCTATAATCATAAATGTTTACATAAGCATACCATACTATTACTGGATGAAGAATAGCTCACATTTCTTTATAAAATTTTTTTAATACTGTGTTTATGTTCTAAAGCAGGCTGGAAAATTTCAAAGCCTCGATATTGTGGCAAAACAATAACAGCAAAGACCTAAGTTATCCTGTAAAGATTGCACATTTTATAAATTTATTCTGACAAACATTAAACAACTGAAAGAAATCCTATATATAATTAAGCTATCATTATCACCATACTTACCTCAAAAAACAAGAGGAATTAAAATTATAGAACCTTCGAGGCTCCAGGCACATTTTCAATACTTAATTCTAGAACATTAATTCAAGTTATACTGGATACAATTCATAGTTACAAAAAGTAACACATCATCATAAATAGATGGCTTCCTAATGTGAACAACTGAACTAAGGGTGTCCCCAGGACACAGCAAGAAAGAACGGAATTAATATTATCCCTTTATACTTTTTGTATGTGCCAGCCATAACAGACACTCAGGTTATTGCCTTAGATTGAGAGATATGAAGTCAGAATCCTGCTGCACAGTCTCTCTAAAAGGCTTAATCCTTAAAAGGAAAAATGGGGCAACTTTCTATGTTACACCAGATGGTAAAATTAGCCAGCATATAGAAAAGGGCATATGGTGTAAGCCTCTAAGAAAAGGAACTGAAGCTCCACAGAAGACTGTGTGATGTAATAATAATAATCATCCTAAATCTTCCTCAGAGGTCTGTCTGAGAATTTTCAAGCGCCAGAATTAGTTCACCACATTATTTAAATTTTTCAGTCCAGCATATCCATATCCCTTGAAAAAGAGCACATAAATGGCAACTGAGATACTTACTCAGTCCAGCTGAGTCCTTCTGGAAGCTTATTTACAGCCATGGAAGCACAATTGAGTATCACAGTACATGTAATAAAGCCAACAAATAATGTGAATAGTAAGTTAAGGAAAAAGTGTTATATTATAAAACAATGAAGTTCAGAATAGTTGCTGATTTACACACACACAAAAAATATAGATATTCAAATAATTACTTTGATTCTGAATATGCTCAGGACTTTTCATGTGTTTTCCAAAGAAACTGATGTCAGATCAAACTTCTGCTCAGCTGGGTAAACTTCATGATTTAAAAATAAGAATGTATTATCTGCTTGTGGAGATAGTTTTGGAAGTTAGAACATTAGTGGGACATAATATGTTTGACAGAAGAGATAAAGAGCATAAAGAAATGAATAAAATGTGAGTCCTCTGTTGTTTACTGTTATCTGAAAGTTTAGAAACCTCCCTTTCTTCCCAGCAGGATCATGGAACAAAGAAAAATGGGACACATGCCCATAATAACTAGGGGTTTTAAGCCTATGAAAAACAGATGAAAAAGCTTAATTATCAATAGCCAGTGTTATTCGAAACTGGGAGTCCATATAGACATTCTTACAACAGACACATATGCTCTGCCACAAGTTCAGAAAACTTTCTAATTTTATGTGACAGGCAATGAAAATATACGTAAGAAAAAATATCTTTTCATGAAAGTTCACCTGTCAGCTAGTAAGAGTGTTTTTTTTTAAAAAAAACCAAACTTTGGCCTTAAATTTAGGGTTTATCTGAAACTGAACAGCAAATTTAGTAATTCATAATAGAACACACAATCAAAGTCAGCCATAGGTTCCCATTAAATGATCTATTTCTACAAATTAGTAATTCCAAATGAAAACAGATCTTTGGCAGAAAGAGCACAAATTACTCAGCCTATGGTTTTGCACCTGCAACCCTTAACATGTTTACATTCTTCATACTACATTTATAATTTTGCAAAAAGAAAAAATGGGTGCTCTTCAGAACTTTATAAACTTAACTGTGAAATACATTTATTAGGACAACATCAAACTTTTTCAGCAAAGCATTGCTGTAAATCACTTCCTTCATGTTTTAATAACTAGGGAGTCCATTTTTTATTGGTTTATTTTTTTATAAATTTAAGCTGGTCACCACAGTAGAGAGTTAGAAAAAGTCCTGGAAAAGGTCTAAAATATCAGACAGTAGCCTCTAAATGTTGTTTCATAACAATATCTGCAAATCTGACTTTAAATTTGAGCTTTTTGACATTTTTACTTCTACCAACACCATAAAAATATCTTAGATGTTGTAAAAAAAGATTCAATATAACTTTTTTAAAATCTCTATCACAGCCACATGAGATTACATTTACATTTATATGAACAGAGGAACAAAGGACAGAAAATGGTACAGTGTATTTTAAAACTGAAATAAGAGAAACCACTGAAAGGATATGAATGGATCAATATTTTAATTGCTGCTTTTCTTACTGGATTAAAAGGACCAACTACACACAACGCAGGCGTGGCTGTAAACCGGAAAATAGTCCTCCTTTTATTTATCACCATAAAAGTCTATTAAAAAAAAGATTCACAGTATATGAAATATTTTAATGAAACAAAATTTTTTCCCTAAATTCAATGTTTCGGTTTTTAAATCTACATCTAGAACTGTATCTAACTGCAATTATGAGTGAAGCTTTCCTACATTCTTACTTGGAGTTGTGATCTGATCATACCACATTTTGAAAGAAAGACGTCAGCTATGTAAAAGTTCATTATTGCCTACAAAGAAGTAGTAGTAATGGGAATGAATTTGAAGAGCAAATGATCACATTCACTTGGTCAAAGTAATGAAAGAATATTATTCTGGGACTGCAAGAATGGTTTTAATCATACTTAAAAGTACCTTACTCTTAGACAGTTTTCTAGGCTACAAAAGCTTATTTATAAAATACATATTGTGTAGGACTGCCATAATCCCATAGAGCCAAAGCAAAAATTTTAATTTTTAAATATCTCTAAACTACGAGGTAACCCTGTAAAATCCCTCTAAGCTACTTTAAGGTCTATGCAGCTCAGTACTTTTGCCACATGAAGTAAAAATGAAATCTCATAAATCAAAAATACAGTTCACTAACTTTTCTGTAAATTTCTTCAACTGAATCAGCCTTAGTTTCTCTTCATCAAGAATATCACTTTAATTACTTTGAGAAAAAAAATCCCTGGAAAAATAAAGCTTTCTGCACATTATCTGATTAAATTATTATATTCCAGTGATTTGATGGTGTACATAAAAGACAGCAACACGAGACTGGATGGAACCTTCTGCTCTTCAAGTCAAGTCCCCCTCAATTGCAAGCTATCATACAACAGACATTTCATTTAGAAAGGAATTCCTAGCGCATCTACTTTGCATACTCCTATAGGCAACAACACAAACCACTTTTCAATAGCATGGAGTATATGCAATATAAATATGGTAGAATAAACAAAGATGAGGAGACATAAAATAACAGAAAATTAATTTACTGTAATGCAAATATATGATTTGGATAGACAGAGTACTGGAAATATCTTGAATATGTCTCCCTTAATTTGTATAACATTTTTAATTCAGCAAAAGCATCTGCAGTAAGTCAGCAATTCCAGCGTGATTACTGTTTGATAGGCACTGTTTAAACCACAGTGATCTCAGCCCCACAGACTCCATAGAAACTACTCTGGAAAACAAAGCATCAGTTATCCCAGAATATATTTCCTATCAAAGTGTACCTATCAAGTGTATCATGTTTTCATAATTAATTCTGACTGCTGACTGGAACTTAAAATACTTTTACATTACATAATGTGGAGCATACCTTAGCACTCCTACTCAAAAAAAATGCTAGCAATGTTTGAAGATCTGTCTACAGAACAATCAAAAACCAGCATCTCCTGAACAGAGCTTTTATTACGTCCTAAGGGTTCAGCAGACAAAATTAAATAAAAAAATGTTTTTGAAAGCTTTAACCTTGTGATCACTGTAGTATGGATCAACATCTTCCAGCGGTTCCCCAATGAGCTCCACAGGAAGATCCCCATACAGAGATGGCAGTTTTTTGCAGGTTTTCAAATCAAGCTGAGGAGTAAGCTTATCTTCTTCAACTCCTTGGTCTTTATTCTTCCCGTTAACTTTGGCTTGAAGCTTTTTTTTCTTAGCAATTCTTTCCTCAATTGCTGCCAAGGACTCAGGGGTGAAACGTCGAAAGCTGTTAGTTTCTGATGGCCAAAACAAGGGATCCATTTTTCCTTATATAAGTTTGTTTCCAGTGCTAGAATTAACTTAAAAGAGAAAACTATTGACAATTAAAAAATAACAGCAATAACAAACAACTTAAAACTAATACCCATTATTTAAATTATTTATTCCCTCTGTGAAACCCTGTATGAGAATAGAACAGGACAGAGTAGAGTAAAGTAGAGTAGAATAATTATAATTTCAGTTGGAAGGGACCTACAACAACCATTTATTCCAACTGCCTGACCATTTCAGGGCTGACCAAAAGCTAAAGCATGTTAAGCGCACTGTCCAAATGCCTCTTAAAACACTGGCAGGCTTGGAACATCGATCACGTCTCTAGGAAGCCTGTTCCAGTGTTTGACCACCCCCTCGGTAAAGAAATGTTTCCTAATGTCCCGTCTTAAACCTTCCCTGACACAACTTTGAACCATTCCCACGCATCCTATCACTGGATCTCACCTTCCTCTTCATGTCCCTTCCTCAGGAAGCTGCAGAGAACAATGAGGTCACCTCTCAGCCTCCTTTTCTCCAAACGAGACAATTACAGAATCATAGAATGATGTGGGTTGGAAGGAACCTTAAAGATCACCTAGTTCCAAACCCCCTGCCATGGGCTGGGACAATCTTCCACTAGACCAGGTTGCTCAAAGCCCTGGCAAACCTGGCCAAAGTCCTTAGCTGCTCCTCACAGGACATGCCTTCCAGCCCTTTCACCAACTTTGTTGCCCTCCTCTGGATGCACTCAAGGACCTGAACAGCGTTCTTATATTGAGTCCCAGAACTGCACACAGTACTCCAGGTGAGGGCACAAAAACGCCGAACACAGCAATATAATCACCTCTCATCTCTTTTAACCAGCTGACTGTGTTCTGTTTGATGCATCCCAGGATATAAAGCAAAACCAACTAGAAGCACATTCATTTAGAAGAAAGGGTAATGTAAAACAAAACCAGCAAATATCAACAATTGATTCTGGATCCACCCAATATAATTCAAGTTGCAGAAGAGATACTGTTTTCCTTTGCCTTTCCAGATAGGAAGTGACAAAATCACATCTCTGTCAGAACTCCAACAATCACCTAGTTGTTTCTCTCTGTAGCAGGTTGTATTATCAGCAGCCTTGCACCTTAGTTACTGGACCTCTCTATTTCTTGCAACCAGAAGTTAGTTCCATATCTACCACCCCTGCTGCTTACATGGGATCACAAAATCGTCTAACTGGAAAGGACCCTGAGGCTCATCAGCACCTTCCGCTGGTCAAAGCAAGGCCAACAATGAATTTGGCTCAAAGCTTTGTCCAGCTGAGTTTTGGGTACATCCAAGGAGATATTTATGGCTTGTAGTAAAAACAATAGAAGAAATGGCAAGTTTTACCTTACTGGTCTTGAGCTTTTCTCTCCTCTGATTCTGCTAATTTTTAGTCATGTTTGTGCTTTGCTCTTCCTGTTCTTCAGACCCTTAACTCTTTACCTTGTGCCATTTTGTTATGGCTGAAAAGTTTTGCTCATGAGACTTTTTTTTAATTTTGTTGAGCAGCAAACTGAGAATGTGGCCACAACTAAGGCTTTATCATAGATGGTTTGATGAAAGAGTATTTCCATTGACATTAAATAACAAACTGTATTAAAAGGTTTTATAAACCTAGGCCAAAACCAAGATGCAGTGTCTAGGAAACATCTGAGTTTCAAATATACCTCCAGATTTCCTGAAGTTTTTATAGGACATCTGTTGAAATTAATCTACCTTGACATGACCTATCCCAAGCATGCATATGTATGATGCATCACACTACAAAGTGTAGCATGCTGCTAGATATTTTACTGACTTTGTTGACAATGAGTCCTGCATACTTTCACACCAAGATCTGGTAATCAAGAACCCTTTAGTACCCAGTTCTCAAAAAATTACAGTAACACCAGGGACAGAACTGGGATAGCTGTTATGTTTAGTTCTGCTTGTGACCTGCCAGGGACCTGCACTTCCTCAAAACAAACTTCACTAGGTGATTTGATCTGATCAACCCTCATGAAGCTCCATACCTGCTAACTGTTATGCAGAATTTAAACAATCTAGACACCATAAAGGACCACTACAAACCAAATAATCAAGTAAATCTGGTATTGCCCTCCTCCCAACTGCATGTCAATAGGAAGATTAGTCTCCTAGAATTTCGCAGGTGCCTTAATGCACCAGAGTGTCTGGTTTTGGACATCTTGGTTATGCCTATTAGTTTAATAACTACTCTTTTCCATACATCAGAGGAAACAAATTTAATTATTATTAACTACTCAGATTATGATCCAAATCATTGGCATTTATATATGCTGATAGGTATGGGTCAATTCTGCATCCCATACCAGCCACGGAAAAGATAAATATGATGAAGCAACTCCACCTTCTCACATATTCATAAATACTGCAATTCTTCTGGGGATTAGCAGAGTACCTTCAAGAATTTATTTTCAATTATTCTGCCTGATCTTAAATCACTGACAAAGGGGAAGGGCAGCAAGGTAATGAGAAATACTGAAATTACTTAAGGCAAGTCACTGTAAGTATGCAGTTACTAATGACTTCCAGCCCAAATTCACCACATTATTTGCAGATGACAGCAATTTATATGACTGCAGTTCTCATCCACAAAAGATGAAGAGAAATTTGACCCATTACAGGATGACTTTTCCTTTGTGACTCATGTCAAAACCAATTGCTCCCATCTAATAAACATTTTAGGTCACCAATGAGTCTTTAAAACACATTTTTGATTGCCTGAGGTCCAGCTGTGCTACTTCAGTTTTGTTAGTGCACATGTGGACCATATTAGAGAATCAATACTCTCCTGTAATTACAGCTCTCTCCTTTAAATGCATAGATATATTTCTTTAAAAAAGAATATGCGACTACCTGGAGCCAGAATGATTATGCAATGATTTTGGTTTGGTTTAGGAGATTTGTTTGGGTTTTGGTTTTGGTTTTGTTTTTTCCTCCTCTGGGACTTTACAAGCAAGTTCAGATCTGATAAGGGACCACAACTCAGAGATCAAAATTTACCATGGTAACAAATTGGAAGTATATAATCAAAGAACTGTTACTCTGCAAAACCACACAGGCCCATTTCCAATCGAAAGCTCAAAAGATAAAGTGAAAATCAACATGTGCTTTTTTTTTTTTTTAATTTTTAATTATTCTAAGAAGATTAATTTTATCTTTAAAGCAGTTTTAAGCACAACAGACTGAGCTTTTAGGTAACTACACTGACTGTAATGAATGAAGCAAAGAAAATAGTTTTGGTAAATACAAACATTGGGTTAATATTAAGGATAAGCAGAGATCAAGAGCAAAAAAACCCTACACATCCCCTTCAGCAGCAGTGACTAGAAGTCATAATTGCACAAAAATTCACAGACAACGTGAGAGGTTTTCTTCAGAAGACGTGTACCAGCAATGTACGGCTCACATGGAACAACAGACTTTTTGGCCTTTCATCAACTGCCAAGCATTTATAGATCATGACTTAAGTTAGGAAAAAGAAAGCTCAGAATAAGGGACTGAAAAAAATCCTTGCAATACAGATGACTAAAAAATTTTGAAAATACAGTGACTACTCGAAATTCCTGAAGCTCAGCTAAAGTCAGCCACCTCATCATATGCTGCTGAACTAGCTGAATTTTTAAGTCAAGAGACCAAGATTAAGTGTTACTCTTAGAAATAATTTCAGTCTTTGCATTAGATAGAAAAGTCTCCCTAGCAAATGATTTCAGAAGGGAAGCTACAGAACAAGGGTTCTCAGAATTAAGCCAAAGTACTACTGAATGAGATTTCTTCTAGAAACTGGGAGAACAGAGTTGGGTGTGTAAATACAAGCTAATGTGGGGAAATTCTAGCAACACATTACCTCAAGTGTGCTGCTGAAGGGAAATACAGGGCTAGAATTGAGATCCATTCATTTCCAGTTCAGGATATGCATGAAATTTACATTTAAATTAAATTAAGACTTGCAAACCCTATGACAGGTTTTGATGTCTCTGGTCCTACAGTAGAGAGCGGTTCATCAGTAACAGGTACAAACGCACTGGTGGGACCTTCACTTACTAAAAGACCACTCTTTACAGGATCAGGGCTACAAAAATATTCCTTCAAATTCACCTTTTTTTATTTTAAATTAAAGGAGAAATTACTTATTTTTTATAGTTTGAGATGAACTGAATTCAGTGTATATAACTAGGCGTGGGTTTAGGTTAGTCTAACTGGTTTAAGGCTGACTTTGAGCACTGTGAAAATCACAGAGAATCTTTTTCCATCAAAACCCAAGGAATACCAGATCTACTGATGAAATTTACTGAACAAATGATCTGTAAAGTATTAGAAAGGGATGAACAAGTCATTAAATAAAATGGACACATGGGTACTACTATAGCACAATTATCTATAAAAATTTCTTAAGATAAAAGCTGTCTTTTAGGATAATTTTCTCTAGAATAGCAAAGTACTGACAAAAATAGTCTATTAATACAATGTTTCACAGACACAAGTTACAAAATGCTCACTGGGGTAATGACTAATCACTAAAGACAACAACTAACAGATTTAGACTTTTAGAATTAAAATCAAAATACAGATTCAAGCCCTGTATGAAGCTCCTGAATTTGGTTCCATTTATGTGAATTTCAGAGCTCCTTTCAGCTTGCTAAAAGCATGTAGAGTCCCTCTTATAGGGAGCAAGGTAACAGCAATCAGACTATTGACTATAAGATATTCAGTGGTCCATAAGAGAGAAATTTAAGCCAATAGAACTGCTTAGTAAAACACTATCAAAGTCAGTAAGGGGCATTTTTTGAGGAGGAGTTTCCCAACTGTAAGGTAGGAACATAAATAAAAATGTCCCTATTTGTGTTTCAATCCAGTTCTAGCGTGTATTATAACCAATTCTGAGTCTCAAATTATTTCTATCTGCTCCCTTGTCAATAGCCATCCACTGAGTATTTCCTGTGAGCACCTGGATCTGAAAAAATAAAGCGTAAACTATCTGTTAAGTTTGGTTTTAGTATGCATTTAGTAGATTCTTTCACATGGGAATAAAGAATAAAAATGCATCCCTATGGTAGGATTTTGTTTGAAAGCACAAAATCAAATAACTATCTACTTAACATAGGTCAAGAAGTATCTTAACATAAATAAATAAATAAATAAATAAATAAATAAATGATTAAGGCATGTAGCAATGCCTACCATGACGTTCATCACCATAGGACTGGAATTATTAAAATCTATGCTCCAGTCAGAGCCCTGTTCCTTTTTCAGTAGTTATCTACAGCGTTTCCAAAAAGCTTGTTTTGACCAATCTGTGTATTTGTCAAAATTAATTTTCAGTGGGCATTTACAAAACCAAATTTTAATAAATCTTATACACAGTTCAGACAATTATAATAACAAAACATCCAGAACCAGATATTTCCAAGTAGTTCTTGAAGGAGTACTTAGCCACACTTAAGTGCATATATCACATTCAATTCTGGTTCACAGAACAAGATGGCCTTTTCAGCTTTATCAACAAAATCAGGAGACTTTTTAGTACCTTAAAAATAAAAAAAAATATGTTAGATAGGCCATATATACAGAAACACAAAGATGTTATGGATGGATACAGTCTGTAGATAAAGACATCTTTTTTAAGGTCCTGCATGTGAACAAGGCATCCTAACTCCCATTACAATCAGTGGATATCTAGTGGCATGTATAGTCAATCAAGGCTGTAGAGATATTCAAATGACCAAAGCGAGACAGCTACTTTAAAATCATCTAAAATTCCGGTGACAGTGTTAACTAAATCTCCACTGACTGTAATGGGAGTTTAAACACCTAGATCACAGAGAGAGAGCTGCATTTAGACAGCTAAATATAGGTATCAATCTTGCACTGAATCATTCCATAGGTGCTAAAACTTTCCTTGCTGTTAAGCAGAGACCTCTAACACTCTGGAGTCACCTTCCTATATGACTCACAAGAGCAGAAACAGATGTCAGCAAAACCAATGCTCTGCATCAGCTATTTCAGATTTCAAACTTTACATTCAATCAGTTCACCATATACAACAGCAAAGACCAATCTGAAACTCTGAATATTATAAGTATCTCCAAGCTCATCATCACCATGGATCCACTAGACATGTATACTGTAACAAATGCCCACTATTAAAAATAATAACATATATTCCACAAAAAAGATGATTAAAAAAATCAATAAACCCACTATTTTTTATAAGTAACTCAAATATTTTTGAAAGAGATGAATCTGTTCATCTGGAAAAAGATGTTCATCTGCAAAAATTAAATACAAAGCAGCAGCTCACAGCAACACCTTATGAAATAGGCTAGAAATTCTCTCTTTTCTGTGTTGTAGAATATCTTGTAAAAAGCTACTGCTATCACCTACTCAGTTTCAATAAAGAGAAAATACTTCTGCTCTCTGATCACCGTTTTCTTCGATTTACCTACCAATATTAATCCATAGATTTAATTTGGTCCTTCCTAAAAGCAAACTTGGAAATTTTACTGGACTACTCCTGTTTCTAAAATACCTGGCCATTTCTTCCACCTAGCACTTTGTTCCCACTCCATGCCGCTGCCCACCAACAAAAATTTGATGTTTGGATAAATACCTACCAGTGTAGGTTTTTTTTAAATTAGATGTAGTATAAAAAGATATTCACAATATCAACATAATATAATAAAATCTATTCACTCATTGCCTCCAAAATCAGAAATATATGTAACAGGCTAGATTGTGAACTATTTAAACAACCTGAAAAAAATCACACACCAGTGTTTTTGTGAGAAAAACATTCCAGATTTGTGTAGGTAAAGAAATTTCACTATCTCAAGATAAGTACAGCTCAGATTAGAAAAGCCTGTTTGAGGACTAATGTGCATAAGCCAATATAACAAACCAATAAGACAAAAAGTAGTCAGTAATTAGTATAAGAAATATATTAATGTTTCTACTGCCACATTTAAACTAAAGGAAGAGCTGCATGTTTACAGCAATATAGTTGTTCTACATTAAAGGCATATTTTCTTATGTACATGCTACCTGTACCTAAAATAAAACCATGTGTGCACATATTTTTTACATATATATACACATGTATACATATATCTGAATATTTTGATCAAACATAGATTTAAATTAAGAAAATTAGCAATTGCAATGTCTCATAGTATACAAATATTTAGAAAAACCAAAATACTTACAACATCTCCTTCAAAATAAAAAAACCTTCACAATGCTTAAGCTACTTTCAGCTAGCTTGTATCTTCAAAGAGACAGAAAGTCTTCATTTTCTCACTTTCACCACTCTGTTCAAAAGAACATCCTAGCTACCTAGCTACCTCCCCTGCAGAAAGTTTTCTTTTGTATTGGGATGCCTGGGGGAGGGATGGAGGGAGGAGCTTGGTTGTTCTTCCAACAGCAATAAATGATTTTGTGATCTCACTGGGAAGACTGTAAAAAAGGAAAAAGTGTGTGCGTGATGCTTTTGAAGAATAATTACCTAAATATTAATCAATTATTTCCTTTCTGTTGAAATCATGGTTACATTTATTAAAAGGAAAGAGAGGATTTTTGCTCAATAAGAAATATCTATGTAAAACTGTATGAAAACAAAACCTGTCCTGTTCCACATTTCATTCTGAGGTTTTAACCAGCTGAACTTTCTGGCATACATTAAATACTGGCACAAAAATGGACCTTCATTAAAAGCTTTTGGTTAGAAATTAGAGCTATATATTACTGGGTTTCATTCTTTAACTTCTATTTTTTATCATTCCCAGGCTATGATGTATGTTCATTATACCTTACAAAGACAAAAGTCAAAGTCAAATACACTTTCTGTTACATACAAGATCAGAGCTCAAAATACATTCAATACCACATCATGATATAACTTCTGTTAAAACATACAAAACTTGTGTGAGCATAATAAAAATTACAACATTTATCCTCATACCTGAAATTGCCTATATTTATTTAAATAAAAACTATGTATAGAGCCTGTTAGCAACAGGTATTGAATAGTAACAGGTATACATTAATGGTAAGCCCTATTGCTAAGTACAGTTATTTCTCTTACAGTTACATTAACAGAACCCATTACCATCCAAAAAATTTTTTACTCTTTATTGGGTAGATTTTAAATCCTTCCTATAGTCTTTCCTGATGATAAGAGAGTTACTATGAGTTTTGCTGGAAGGATTGTACTGAAGGAACTACGCTGTCCTTAAAAGCCAGGCAGCTCTAATGCATGCAAACAGAAAAACAACTGTGATCAAACACTTTGCTTGATAGGTATCATCAGAAAAGGAAACAACTAAAGATTGTTTTAAAGAAATAAAACGCTAAGTGTTCTGTGATGTAAGCAACTATAAGCCATTTTAAGTCCCAGTGTAAGTTATTTTTCCAGAAAGCAATAGTATGTTCTCGAGACAAGTTCAATTAAGAGAAGAGAATTTTAAAAATCAGTAAAGCATCTTTCTATAATGGCACTATATCTGCTGTGGTCAAAAGCAGCCACATTTATAATACTGCACCAGCCAGTATCACTAAATAGAAAAAAGATCCTTACCTTGACATATTTTTTCTGCTGCATCTTCTTCATCAGTCTGTCCCTGAGAAAAAACGGGCACAGGGAGTAAAGACAGAGAAGAGTCCCAGTCCTCTGCCCTTTCTGCATGCTGTAATATCTATAGTCACAAGAGGAAGTCATGGAAAATGAGGATTTTTATCTGTAGCTGTTAAAAGAAAGCCTTAGGACTTGAAGCCAACAGCAAAATGCGTAGACAACTAACTTTTCTTGTGTTACTATGTAAAATTTACTTCATCCTATTAGGAAGGCAGTTTCTTAAAAGGGGGGGATGGGGCACAAAACTAGCTTCATAGTAAGAACATTGTTTTCTTCCCCGTTTCATTCATTATTCCTCAGTATAATGAAAAAAAGACCAAAAAAGCTGAAGTTTAAAAACAAAAAGATAATGTTCATTATAAAAATTACTAACTCTGTTAATTTAGTCACCATGTTCTTGACATGGATTTGTCTCTTCCATTAACTGCAAAGTATAGCACTCTTCTTTTTCCTTTTTATTGCCAGAGCCCAAGATAAATATTTCTTCTTGGTAGCATTAGTACACCACCATTAGTCTAATGACTAAGTGTGTGCAGCTGTCAAGAGCTGAAAAAACAGATTTTTGCGTAATTAAATGTATGTTGTGACTGTGCCACAACTCTAAACACTAGATTCTGTTTTAAATTACTGATCAGATAAATACAGTCATTAAAGATATCAAGGCATCTGGCAGTTCATGCACACTGCATGACCCTCTTATCCTCAAATTCTATCCAGCTGCCTCCTCTGCTAGCTGCTATCAACTGAGAAATACCCTGTGGTATAACCCTAGAAATCTGTGTCTCTTACATTCAGTGGCATAATAGACACACAATGCATGCTTCTGTCTTAGTGGGAGAAGGGTTCATACAAGGTTTCTCTTCCTATTTTTCTCATTTATAGGAATGAGACTGCTATTTGGGTTCCTAACAAATTCAGCACTATTTCCTTCCTTTTCTTATTTGATTGGGACCTTCCCTCAATAACCCACTGGCCAGGGACTCCTTACTATATGTGAGAAGCTTGAAATTTAGATCATTGAAAGCCTAATCCTTCTCACTCTACCCCCTCTAAGATACATCTGGATCTTTAAGATACTATGTGTATAATTGGCTAAAATTACAAGATGGACACAAGATACCAGCTGGGTACAAGAGGGAATGGAACTTAAATTTCAAACAAATAAGTCACTATCATCAACTGATGCATCTGTAAATCTCATTCTGAAATTTGTATACTAACTTATTCAATAGCCTCTCTATTACTCACACAACATTCATGCACAGAAAGTTTGAGTAAAAAAAATGTTTTACTGAGAAAAAATAAACACATTTATCAAAAATTCAATGGAAAAAGTCAACATTGCCTTACCTACATGCTAAAAACAATCTAGTAACCTCACCCATAATAGTTGGAAGGAAATTTACTTGAGCCTGAGAAAGACATTTCATATTCTCAAGAAACAGATTCTGCAAAACCAAGTCAAACAATACATAACTAGATTGTGTCGTCCACTGATGAAGAACTCTGTTGAATCTGATATAAAGTATCTTTTAACTGTTTTAATTTAGGTTAAGAGTCTCACAGAGACAAATCACTACTGCTAATTGTGGAGCTTACTGCATCTTTTGGTTATGGTTCACTGCCCATTAGTTGACAATGACCACAAGTGACTCTGCGACAAAGGCGGTGATGCCGATGATCCCCCATGAGAATCAGCAAACAGAAACCACTTTTTCACACTGAAAACTCCACAAAACAGAAAATTCAGCTGTGCACATAACAGCAAATTGGCATGAACACAGGCATCAAAATACCCTTCTGAAGGCAAAATCTCAATCTCTGGAGAGCAGAGAATGGAAATCATGTCAGATGGAGCACAGGTATGGCATATTTTTAGTTTCTTTAAAGACAGCAACACCACAGAAAGAGAGCATGTTTCTTCTGGGCATAACAAAAATAAACACAAATCATCATCATAGCAAAAAGCTGATATTAATAGAAATCAGCTGCTATTTTTGCCTCCCTAACACATGAAATGAAAAATTTTTCAAATTCATTTTAGAGTTAAAAATGGTTCTACACATTAATGCAACTTTGTGAAATTTGGTAAGCCTACATAAGTAATATCATGACAAACAGAATTTCTCAATATAAAATCCTAGGTTTTCTACATTAAGAACCTGATTTTCTCTTAAGCCCTCAAATCTGCACAGTGCCCTGAAGCAACAGCACTATATACAAATTTTCAGAGTGCAAATCACATGGTTTCCTTGCCTCCACTCGAAACAGAATTATCACTCAAATCATTGCCTGGGAAAGTTGTTCTGCTTTTGGTGCGATGGTTCTTCAGCTGGCCTTTTGCATGGCAGCCACATGACAGCAATATGGAACACACAGATATAATTGCACAAATATGGTCCCTCTGATGACTGCATTTGTCAAGACACTGATGCCAAACAAAAAAACTAAGTACACTTTCTATTCTAAGTTGCTTGAGTCTTTGGGGGAAACAAGCTTGTGTGTTTAAAATGAAGACAAGCTAACAAAAACCATCTTGGTTATGTCTTTCAGGTAAATATCTTTGGAAAATGTGGTACAGGGTAAAAGAGTCAGCAAATTCAGCGATGGCTTCCATTGTACACAGTCATTCAAATAAGAAGTGCAGACCTGGCTTGGTCACATCACAAGGACTTACAGATGAATGAGAGCTTTAATAGTAGATGGCTCTTCAATCCAACAAACAAAAGCTGGAAGTTTAAATTAGTCAAATGTGGACCAAAAAAGGGCACATGTATTGAACAGGATGGACAATTAAGAATCAAAACAACTTATGAACACTTGTGGCCTTCTCAAATATTCAAAATCATTAGTGTTTGATTCCATCAGACCTTTGTTTTCTAATCCCCACCTAACTCTACATACATATGTACACAATTTGAGAACTGAGAGCAGTTTTTCATATTACACTATTTTTTTATAACATGTATTTGGTGCAGTATAAGTTATTAACCCTGATGCTTACAGCTCATAAATGGTATTTCTTAGAAGTTTATGTAATGGAGGTAGTTCATTGCTCAGCAATAAAACTTCATACTCCTTGGTAATTCAAGCATTTGCATCGAATACACTTGCAATGAAAATTATTTGCAGAGATTTCTGTTTACTACAGCTGCAACTTCGGAGAATTTGCAATCCTCCCTCCTCTCTGTAACCTGAACTGGCATACAGGGAGAGCGGTGTCCACAATTTGGGAAACACTATAACCTCTGACACATCACATTAAGAGCTATCTCTAAATAATGCACACATTTATTACAATGCATCTTTCATGGGCTGAATTAATTCAGCTGCTGTCCAGAAGCTTCAAGATTCTCTTTAATTTCAAGACCTAGATGAGATTCCAGGAATGTCTCTTATAAAATATCATATCCCCGGAACAAGAGTAATATGGGACAACAGGCAAAAGGAAAGAAGTGGGGAAATACATCTTCTTTTTTATACTTGGAATGCAGAATAGCTAAATATTAAATATATAAAACCAAAACCAACACACAAACACAGAGAAACATATTTACAATATCTAAAGGCGTGAGTCTGTCACAGAAAAAAATAAGGGGCTCTGGCTAATAAATATCTCTGAAATAAACTAAAGTTATCTCCCAATCCCTCTTAGAAAATAATCTAATAGTGTAAAGTACATGATGTATTTATCAAGGTAATAATTTATATGATTGCCATTTCCCTTTTTTCATGCTACACAATGAAATAAGAGCTCACACGGACATGGAATTTGGTATTTGGTAAATAGCTAATTGGCTTTACAGAATAACAGGAAATAGCTTTTATGGTAAGTACACATTAAACGTGTTGTTACACAATGAGGCTTTCTGCCTAATGACCTAATGCGCACTGAGTAAGTCTGAAAATTAGCTCAGTGCCTGAAGTTCAAGTTATTCCATCTGTTTCTTCTTAGCATTCTGAAAAACAGTATTAGTAATACTGAAGCATTTTATATTTCTCAAACATAAGATGCTAAGAGCATGCAAAATATTGCTACTACAATCTCCGAAAGACTTCCAGCATTTCTGATGCTATCTTGCTAGCAGTTTATTCCTGAAGTCTCACCTTTTACTGCATGACTCCAAACACAACCGTGAAATGACAAATGCAAGAGGACTAGCAAAGACTAAGGCATTTGTTTTCAAACGTATTTCTTACTGTAGCACCTTGTAAGATTAAAGTCTAAACACCAACATGTCAGGAATGCATCTGGTAAATACTATGTAATAACAAACAGTTTTAAAAATTAAAAACAAACAAACTATATATACTAGTGAACTAGAACACAGTATTTAGTAGTTAGATTAATGCAAGAAAGCATAATTGAAAGAAAGTTAAAGCTGAAATCATAATTTCTCTCCTTTCTCCAAAGCCTCCCAGATTTCAGCTCTCTGTCCCTCCTCCCTAGCTAGATGGGATTTCTGATTTATCAAAATGGCTTGAAAATTTAGTTTCTTTCTTTGCTTCCAGTTGCCATCACACCGGTTCTATATCTCCTGCTTATAATGATTGGCAGTCATTAAAAATATATATGTAGTCACTGATTTGTTACATATCTGCAGAGCCCTTTGCTCATACTTGGTCCAGCTGCGACAGACACTGACATGGCAACTGCCTTAGTGACTCAAGAACACTCTCACTCCTCTGTGCCAGTGGAGACACTAAATACCCATCCAACAGTCAAAACCAGAGCAATTGTAAACTCATCTGAAATATTTTTCAGTGGATTTCTACAAATATTCCCTCATTGTGAACAGTGCAAGAAAAATAATGTAGAAAGTCTGGGGATCTGCCTGTCTGTCATCCAAAATCACAACTTTATTCCAGATGATATTCTGCAACTTTTCAGGACTTAAATCCAGCAGCACGAGGCAGTTACAGACACACCAGAGGTTCCAGAGAACCACAGCAGACTGTGCTCATTGTGCACTGTTCTGTGAATGTATTTTTGATGCTTGTACAGCAGATTGTGGACATGAAGGAG